ATAAGTCCATTTCCATATAGTTTAAAAACAACATCAAAAACTACACTGGGCTCTGCTTCAGTTTGGCCTATATGCATTAAATTCATCAGAGTTTAAACAATTACAGGTATTAACATTGGCTGCAGTGCTCTTCAATTGTAACATCTCACTGCATTGTATATTTTAATTCTTATTATACCTTTGCTAAAGAAAAACTTGCACTCATAAAAATAGCCTTACTATTACACTCTAGGCTGTCAAATTCTTATAAAACAATGTTCTTTATTACAAAACGGATTTACACGGCTCGTTCCATTATTGTATTTGGAAAATCTCACAAAGTCTCTTTTATTATAGCAAAGAAGGAAACCTGGTTGAAGCACCTTACTATTGCTTCCGTGTAGATCATTTTCCAGCGCTCTGCTTGAGCAAACAGAATGTCTGAGACACAGTCTCTTTACAATCCTGTATGATTTATATCTCATTTGTTGATATGGGTCTTTGAGCACAGTGTAACCTGCGTAGGGATTGTGTTGGGGTTCGTGCAAGATGCAATATTCTTCTCTGGCTTTGGAAGGCGCTGCTGTTCTTGTAGAAGAGACAGGAATGGGCCCTGTTTTGGACCTTAATAACACATCTACACACAATTAAAGGCAGCCAGGTTCACAAATATTTGCCATGCTCAGCCAAAGAGGTCACTCCGTCCCCTATGGAGCACAGAGGAACCAACTGCTGAGTATACACACATAGGATTGTGCCCTCAGTTTTCTGACTTTCTAACAGGATGGACAAAAAGAAATGCTTCCCAGCTGCTAATTTGGGTGGCCCGGAATGCTGCAGATTGTGACTGCTAGTAAAAGGTGTCATGGCCAACAATTTGCCATAGCGAATCTCATTTATTTCCGTGTGTGTGTTTGCTGAGCAGCTTTGTTGCTGCTTTTGCAAATTGTATGCAGATGGGTCAGGCTATTACTTTTCAGTACATAGAGACTCCTGGGATGTCTGGTAGAGCTGGAGACACGCACAAAAAAGAGTCTTTGATTAAAAGGTCTCTTTCTTACCCAAACCTGCTCAGATCTCGGCAGGGACGTTGCACCTGCTCTGCGCTTCTGAGGAAAGCCTCTCCAGATTTGAGGAAGGAATTAAATAGCTTTTCTTTCCTCATAATGAAGTAGCTGCAGGGGGGATTTTGTTTTGGACCCATTTCAAACAAAGAAAAACCAAGAACAGTAAAAAAAAGTGTTCCTGAAGTTTATTTGCGATGTTAAGATTCTTCTAAATTTTCCTAACATTCTCTGATGTTTAATTGATTCAGTGCCCAGCTTTTATACTAAATTTGTTAGTATAAACTCATTTTTGCAATCTAAGAACTGGTAAATCCAAGCAAACAATTAGCATTTAGGAAAGTATTATTTACTTTAAACTTTGTGTGCTACCTTTGAATATCTCCACTACAGTTTACAGAAAGAGTAGAACAATTAAAATCTAGATTCAGGGCAAAACATAATTATGCCAAGTAACTTACCTAATTACCTAACATTATTGGAGACCTGTTCACATATCTTCAACTCCTTTAACCTACAGGCCGACAGTACAAAATTAGTCTCCCTCCCATCAGTGCCCTGCCATTCAATAATTTCTCCATTGTGCTTCCAACTGGTCTTGACAATTTTACCACTACTATAATTTGAATGGGAGCAAAACTGGCTACGGTTAGGAAGCAGGGCTGAAGTTCAACATTTTCTGCAGTGGACAGCATGTCTCCCACTTCCCCATTACCAAGCTACCAACATTGAATCGGAAAGACTAAGCTGCAGAGATGCCCCAAAGGGGAACTTGTATCCACTGGTTTCAGAAACAAGTACTAATTTTGGAAAGAAACATGAGCAAGATGCATGTGAAACTACTCCCAGATGAACACTGCATTTGAATCAGCAAAAATCAAAGCTTAGCCCACCAGTGATGCATGTCTCAGCTGTTACTAACCACTCTACTAGACCACACTGTTTCATAAAAACTCTTCCTACAGTTGGCTTAATCCCCTTGATGGCAGGGATGGAAACAGTGGTGCCAGTTAACCCCCCCCCCAATAGTTTCAGAGATCAAGCCTGACCAGTTCTCCCAACTTTGCTTACATCTTCAGACAGTTCAATTGTCCTGTTTTCACATGTCGCTTCACCCAAAACAATTGGAACTGTGTATCCTGTTTTGCTCACATCTTTGCAGACATATCTGTGTTAACTTTCAATAGCAAAGAGACCAGAGCAGATAGCTCTGGTCTTCTTGGAGAGAATGGGACTGTGGTTTTGAAGCTGCAGCCCCGCTGTGAGAGAAATCTTGAGATAAACCTTACATTATCACACTGAATAGTGATAGATTTTCATTTCACACAGGAAAATAAATGTGCCTGTTCAGAGCCTGATTCAAGGCACCCGTCAGACTTCATCCCTCACAATTATCTAATAAGGTGAATCTCTGCACTCTTCTCACACCGATGAATTCAAAGCAATCACTGGAAATTGGTATCAGCTCCCCAATTCAGCAACAGATCCTCCTGTGACATGGAGGGCAAGCCACTTTCTCACCTTGGATTGCTTCCTCCAAGCTCATTTGCATATTAGTTGCAAACCATGATCATCTTTCCAATCTATGGATAGCCAGTCAGGTCCAGATTTTCTGAACTACAGCTCCCTCCAGCCTCAGCCATCACGGCCAGTGGTTAGGGATTATGGGATATGTAATTAACATCTGGAGGCCACCAGGTTGCCAACCCTTGCTAAGCCATACTTCCTAGGTATGAAAATACTGCAAACTGTCTTCCAGAATAAAATCCCTCAATCAAGATAGGATTATGATAAGCCTCCCATAATGATGCCTTGAAACAGCATGTTGGGGGAAGCAGAGGAGCATAATTCCCTTGCTTTCTTTAAGCACCCTGAGAACAAAAAGAGGGTTACAGTGCAGGGCAAATTAAACTGTTTGACACAATCATGAGAGAGCCCAAATCAGGCATTTTTAAAGCACCTCAGCACACAAGCGGAAACAGGGCCACTTCCAAGTATCTGTGCCTCCACAGTTGCACACAGTGAGTAGTTCCTTCTACATCCAGTCATCTGGAGGAAGAGTTACTCAGGGCACATGGTATCACAGGCGTGGCTACTCAGCACAGCCCCGCAACCACTCACGAGCTGAGGTACACAGTTTGTGTAATGCCTGAATAGGACTGGTGTGTGTAGCAATTCCGCCCAAGCTATTTGAGAACTGGAACTTGAGGTCTGTATTCTTTAGTGGTTCTGATTAAAAGAGCAAATGAATGGATGGATGAATGTGCTGTTAAGCTCTCTGAACACCCTGCTTTCCTGCAGCATAGAGACCTTGATGGGGGGAAGGGAGCCTTAAAAATCACAGGACCATAGTACCCAGATGTTAATTTGGGAAGCAAACTTCATTTGTGTCTGCAGGTAAATGGCACTTCTGTGTAATGAGTTAAGACCAGGGGTCCTCAGACTTTTTAAACGGGCCAGTTCACTGTCCCTCAGACTGTTGTGGGGGCAGACTATAGTTTGAAAAAAATATGAACGAATTTCTATGCACACTGCACATTAAAAATTAAATTTTAAAAAAATAATTAAAAAATGTATGCTCTGCTCCCTTGGGCTGCAGCAGAAGCCCAAGATGAGGTGGGGAAGAGCATGTCCATATTCAAGGGACACAGCTACAACACAACCAAGGCTCTAAATATAGTATTTTGCATAATGCAGCTGATGACTGCAACTGGCATTTACAAAGAGTGAAGCAAAAATACTAAGGAGAAATACTGTTAATGCCGCTCTTAGTATTTGAAGCAAGTCAGCCCAGAACAATTCCCACAATACACAATGACTGTGTTTGAATGCAGAGCTAATGACTACCATATTTTAAGTGCAACCTTGCCAAAACTGGTACTGTCCGGATGAGTTGGACTGCAACTTCCATTGGCCATGCTGGTTGGGCATGATGGAAATTGTAGTCCTTGCTGCTGCCCCGCTTCTGAGGGAGCAGGAGGCTGGAGAGGCAAGCACGGGGCGCCCCCCCTGGCGGGGAGAGGGCTGCGAGGAGGGAGATAAGGGCTCCTTTCTGAGGCAAGGGACGGGGCCACAGCTGGCTGAGCGGGTCTCCTCCCGTGTCTTCCCACCATGGGGGGAAGCATGGCACCTGCTCAGCGGCAGCAGCTTGCTCAGAGAAGGCTGTGGCAGAGACGCAGTAGCAGCCGTGGCTTGGCCCACAGCCTGGGGATGTGGCTAACATAATTAAAATAGTTTTAAAACTTATATTTTTCTTACCTTCAATCTTTTTTTAGTGTCTTTGTCTCTCTCTCTTCCGCCCTCCTCTCTTCTGTTTCCCAGTCATATTCCTGCTCTGTGTATGCGTGCCATGGGGTGGGGGGGAGCGGGCGTATGCACAGTTGAAGGAAGCTGTTATAATTTGATGCGTGCGCCGGCTCTCTGCTCAGTTTCAGAGAACGCCTGCACCGGCTCAGAGCTTTCTTACTCGCTCGGAGATCGTTTTTTCCAAGCGAGTCCAAAAGTTCTAAGGTGGGCTGGGTAAATGACCATAGCGGGCCGTATGTGGCCCACAGGCCGTAGTTTGAGGACCCATGGTTAAGAGCATCACTTGCATCTTTTAAAAACTGACTGATAACTTACTGTGTTGAAGGACCTGATAACAAAAGTTGAGGCCAGACTGTTGAGATGTTGTGTGTGTGAGCAACTGTGTCCATCTGTAGCCCAAATAACACTGGTTTCTGTGTCCCATTTGAAATCCATTTTGTAAATACATAAAATTGCATTCCGGTCCTGCTGATGCATTCTTTTCGGAAAGACTACCAGCTTTGCTGCAGAAGCCTAAAAAGGGAACTTTGCAACCTGCATTTCAATAGCTTTTTTTAACTTGAAGAGTTATAAGTATTGTATATTGTATAAAGTAGCAGGATGTCATTGTCAATTGAGCATTTGATGCCACCTTGTCTTTGTTTGCTTTAGCTTAACAAGATGCCAGGATGCGACATGGCGAAGCCGCTCCTGGGCCACACGAACACAGAGAGTGACTCGAGCCTTGCTCCGGATGCTGGCAGTAGGACAATTGGAATTCTGGGAAGTGGAGACTTTGCGCGTTCCCTCTCTATGCGCCTGGTGTGCTCAGGTTTCAAAGTGGTGATTGGAAGCCGGAACCCCAAGCGCAATGCAAGCCTCTTCCCTTCAGCAGCTGAAGTCACATTCCAGGCAGATGCTATAAAGAAGACCAGTATTATCTTTGTGGCGATTTTCAGAGAACATTACACCACACTCTGTGACTTCAGCGATGAGCTGGCTGGCAAAATACTAGTGGATGTGAGCAACAATACTGAAAGAAGCCATCACAAAGAATCAAACGCTGAATACTTGGCATCACTTTTCCCAGCAAGCACTGTTGTCAAAGGATTTAATGTGATCTCAGCATGGACATTACAGTCAGGTCCTAGGGATGGGAACAAGCAGGTATCGTTCTGTTCCTTTTATCAGTTCTGTGTAGACCACCATGTCTGTCCAGACTATGAGAAGAAGGCAAGAAGATGACAAAAATGCAGTTAGAATAGTGTCTCATATCTGTGGTCAGGATGCTCTGTAATTTGCATGTCCATAAGTAAATTTGCATATCTGTTATATAACTAGATCAACATTTGGCACCTCAGCTTTCTCACTCCTGGTTTAAATAGAACACTAAAAGATAGTCTGAGATTGGGGTGCTGTCTGATTCAGATGCCCATAAGCTCCCACACTGGGAGTAAGTAACGTAAGACCACCCTGCACAGAGTGGCAGGAGATGAGGAAGGCATCTGCGTTTCTCTGCTCTTCCAGTTTTGGCAGATGGCCATGTTTGGCTGTCTAGCTTGGGGCGCACTGGAGGGGGAGAATAAGGCTAGAGCAGTGTCAGGATAACATGAGCCTCACCGTTTTCCAAAATGCCCTCTTTCCCCTCTCTCTGAGGTTGCTTTCCTAATGTTGGAAAGCAGCCAGTGTGGCTTCTTCCTTGTCAGGTGCATGAAGATAGGTCAGGGACTGTAGCTCCAGTGCTCAGCTCCACAGTTGCAGATGTCAGCCTGAGAATCCCAACAGTTCTGTGCCACCCAGCTGCTGCTGCTGAGGGCCCTGGGGATCATTCCTGAAGTTGGTTTAAATTCATACAGTTCAGTAAGATTTCTTTCCCAGCTGCCTAACAAAAGCTCAGAGGGTGGTATCCAATATAAAACCAAAACCACATCACCAATTCTCCCCATTCTCATGAAAGTGCAAACGTAGAAGAAACAGTAACATACATTTGAAGGGGCCAGCTACAAAATAAACAAGCATAGCAGTAGATAGAGAGCAAATGCCTGCTTGAAGAAAAAGATCTTAACTCATTGTCTAAATGTGGAGACCAAAGACTGTCCTCAGGGGAAGCCTTCACCTGTGTTCTGCATCATGGCCTAAAATTTAACCCAAAATTCAAGAAACAGGCTCAGGTATCAGGGTGGGGTGGGGAAGCACATAGCAACAGACAGAGAATGTTGAGGGTCACCTGGCAACAGCTTTGTCATCTTTTAGGCACTAGGTTAAGACTTTACTCCCAGGCATTATGATTAGACATGAGAGCTTTCTGAATGTTGGGGATTTTTAACCAGATTCTAATATTGTTGAATGTTTTTATGTTTCAAACTGCTTGCATGTTAAAGGTTTTATATTAATGTTTTATAATCACCTGGAGAGTTTTGGCTATTAGGCAAAATAGAAATGGGAGGGAGGGAGAGAAGAATCCTATACTATTAAATGCCCAAATATGTCCATATTATCAATGCGCACATCACTCAGATTTCTTCACCTGTCCCACTTTCCAGCAATGCTGTTTCCAGCTAGCCAGTTATTCGCTTATCCTCCATTTGCCGTAGGTCTTCATTTGCTGTGACAACCAAGAAGCCAAACGCACTGTTGCTGAAATCGCCCACACGCTGGGATTCATCCCTGTGGACATGGGCTGCTTGTTTTCAGCCCGCGAGATTGAGAGCATTCCCCTGCGCCTCCTCCCGGCCTGGAAGATCCCTGTCTTTTTGGCCCTGGGCCTCTTCCTCTGCTTCTACACCTACAACTTCATCCGGCAGGTTTTGCACCCATACATCTGGGACAAAAAGAACAAGTTCTACAAGATGCCGGTGGAGGTCATCAACACCACACTGCCTTGCGTCGCCTATGTCATGCTGTCTCTCGTCTACCTGCCAGGAGTCCTGGCAGCCATCTTCCAGCTGTACCACTGCACCAAGTACAGGCGTTTCCCTGACTGGCTTGACCAGTGGCTGCAGCACCGGAAGCAGATAGGGCTGCTGAGTTTCTACTGTGCAGCCCTGCATGCTGCGTACAGTTTCTGCCTCCCCATGCGACAGTCCCAGCGGTATCTCTTACTCAACGAAGCTGTCAAGCAGGTACGGGCCTCCCGATTCTGGGAGGAAAACTCATCTTTTAATCTCATGGGATTTCTGCTGTTTGATGGGATGCTGTGTTACTCCTTGGCTCTCTTAAACTCCTTGGCACTTTCTTAAACATGGCTCTCCTTTACCATTTGGGATTGCAGAGTTGTAGCATGTCCATGTGCATATATTCAGAAGGAGACCAAGTCAAGACCTTTCTGGAAAGCCCTTTTCTCAACTTTTGTCAGCGTGGTTCTTTCTAGGCATGTTGGCCTGCCACTCCCACAGTTCCCAAGTACTGTGACCACTAGGTGTACTGGCTGTAGCAGTCCAACACATCTAGAGGATGCTGGCTTGGGGAAGGCTGCCTTAGCCATTGAATATACTCTTAATCCGCAGGTCTGCAACAAATGTTGCAGTGCAGGATGTTTTTCTAAAATATTCCATTCCGTTCCCCCAGGCACTGAATTTTCTGTTTTCCCACAGCGCAACAGTCGGTCAGGATTCCTGGCCACTGATTATGCTATATTATCATTGAGCAGTTTTGTGGGATGCCCTCCCCATTTTTTTCCTAAAAGTTGGTTGTACTTCTTCAAACATTGGTGTTCTCACACACACAACAGCTCAATAGCTCATGTTATCAGGTTCTCCTGTTAATTTCCTTCTCCAGTGCTGTTTTGGCTAAACAGGAAATGGACATTGCTTTTCTTTGTAACCAGGTGTTTCATATTACAACTCCTGTAAGCCCCAGCAAGCATGGCTAATGGTCAGGGATTACAGAAACTGAATTCCAAAACCTCTAGAGCAGTGGTTTTCAACCTTTCCACAGCTGGGGACCGGCAAAAACAGGAAAACCACTTCAGGGACCACTGAGGCAGAAACAAAAAGCACCATGCACATAATACAGTATTCTGTGTATTAGTTTCCAGAGACAATACCAAAAAAAAACAAAAACGAAAATTCTCCAGAACAACCAGAAACCAGGCAACAAAAGTGCCAACAAAAGAACAAAACACTGAAATTGGTGCAGCATGGCTCCCAGCTGGCTCTCACTGAGCCTTCTCTCCCCCCCCCCCGCCTCCCCCCACCCCCTGGCACCAGTGCACCTCCTGTGAATGCAGTGCTAGCCAAGGAAGAGGTGGTGGAGCACAGTCAGCCCCCATGCCAGTCAATGGCAAGCAGGATGTGCCCCCCCCACAACTGGCACCACTCCATGGACCAGTGGTTGAAAATGTCCCGAGACGTTCTACAGGGGACCGGATAGAAAAATTAAATAAATAAACCACTGCTCTAGAGGGTATCTGGTTGACGGTCTCTCTTATGTGATATGCATATAAAAACAAGAATTTTTGAAGACCTGGTAGAGCCTGTGCTTGTGGACACTGCCGTCCGGTTGCCCTTTCTCAGAACCATAATGCTGGACTCCTTTCCACTCAGCAGGAGCTAATAGCAATATTGTCAAACTAGAAAAGAAAAAGAAAAACTAGTAACATAAAAATGCAGCACCAAGACAGGATTTTAGAATATTAAAGTGCCAACTATCCCTTGAGCTGCCCAATCTTTTTTTGGGGGGGTGGGGGAGGATTGGTCCTGCATTTGAAGGCAATAAACCAGGGATAGGTGACTAGTGGCCTACCGGGTGGTTTGGCCTGCCTTTCACATCAGCCTTAGCCCTCCCTGGCAGCGATGAGGGATGCTGGTGTTTGTAAGCTAAAACGACTGGAGGGCCACAGCTTGCCTGCTCTGGCCATAAAGAACGGGGCCACTCAGGGCACCCTGCACCCCACCAGCCGTGGCTCTGATGGCAGAAGAAGGCAGCAGAATCTGTGGATCTGTGTGGATGGGCAGGCTCATGTGAGAGACGGCCTTCAAGTCATAAGCAGGGTAGGGCTGTAACGTAGATGGTTGGCACTTCGAATTGCACTCAGAAATGAATTGGCAGCCAGCACAAGAAGCAGTCGCTGCACAAAACTGGCCCTTAATGAAGCCCTAGCCACCCCAGTCAAGAGTAGCTGAAGTTTCTGAGCCTGTTTTAAAGGCAGCCTTTAAACTATCTTTAAAAGCAGACGGGGCATTGCAATAATCCAGCTTTGATCAAACAAAGCCATGTATGCCCGTTTTAGCCTTTCAAGCCTTAAATTATTTGGACCCAAGTTACTTGAAGGACGGACTTGCCTTCTCATGTAGCTGCCAACACACACCTAGAAGTCATCACAGAGGTTCTTCTACTTGCCCACAGCCAAAGGCAGTTAACTGGGCAGTGGCCTCACAGTGGCAGCCCCACACTGTTAAGATAAGCTTCCACCAGGGTTCCTCTGTCCCTTTCTTTGCAGGCTCTGAAGCCCAGTTCACTGGCCTTCGCTGGCTCATCTTTGAGCTACAGATTTTATTGGTGTGACCTGTTTGTTAAGCTATTTTATTGTTTGCTTGTTGTCTCTTTGTTGCATATTTTGTCTGTATTTTAAAACCTGTAAGCCACTTGGTGTGGGTTTTCCCTTAAGGGCAGCCCACATTAAATTTAAACGAAGGAGCAGAGGTAAGGGAGTGGTCGTGGCTCAATCCCCCTTCTCCAAGAATGAGCGCAGCTAGTCAGACCCTCTCCCAGCCACCATCATCACCTGGCCGTTTAACAACAAAGCCAGGTCAAGAGGCCTCCCCAAGCGGTGAACAAGGTGAGCTGCTTTTCTCTGCATCCTTGACAGCCAGAAAGCTGGAGTGTCCCCACATGTCTTTTTGCAATTTGCTACCTCCAATGAGTTCTAGGTCGCTCAAATGCCTGGGAGGCTGCACCAGAGAGCCTTCACCTCATACTGTTCCTTCCTCCCATCCAGGGGGCATCCCTCACCCTTCGGCCTCCTAAAGGAGAGCTCCGCAAATACCCTGGACTGGCAGATGAACAAGCAAGTCCTAGATCAAATCAAGGCTGAGCTTTTCCTTAGAAGCAAAAATGACAAAACTGAGACTGTCACACTTTGGGTACATCACGAGAAGGCAAAATCTCCTGGAGAAGACAATAATTCTAGGGAAAGTTGAAAACAGAAGGAAGACCAAATATAGGATAGATTGACTCCTTAAAGGAAGCCACAGCCTTGAATTTACAAGAGTGGGGCAAGGCTTTCATAGACAGGACATTCTGGGAGGCTTTCATTCAAAGGATCACCATAAATTGGAGTTAACTTGGCAAGACATGATGACATTCCTTCATCCCCATTTGTGGCTCTTTCTCCATATCCCAAGGTAGAGAAGGAAGGGGGAGAAATGATCCAAGGAGTCTTCCTTAAAGGGGAAATAGACGATGACTTGGGCATACCTTTATAGAGTGATGCCAGGGCCCTTTGCATAATGAAGTTGAGGAAAGGAGGAAATAATCTGGGCTCATCTCAGTGCAGGTCTCTATGTGGAGGAAAAGAAATGTACAGAAGTCGTGGGATTCAGGATGGATAGGATGAATGCTTGTCTATACACACAGGAGGGCAGTGGCTTCCCCTCTTTGGCCTTGGCCTCACCCACAGCTGACCTGCTTCTCTGAAGCCAGAATGAGCGCCTGCTATATTTAGATCTAAAATCCAGTATTTAAACTTGACTGTTTCTGTGGAAACCCTTGGCAGAATAGGTTTGTGTTCCGGATTATTTTTACATTTATTAAATTGCTGTGTATATGTAGCCTTTCACCGCTTCATAAATCTGCCCAGCCAAAAGCGACCGGATCTGCAACTTGCTCCATGGAAACAATGGAACTTCTTTCCATGCAAGCAAATCTTTGGATCACAGCCTAAGAAATGTCGCTGAATGTGAGATGCAGCAATGCGTTGGCCCTATTCCGTTTTTTATGCCTGCCTGATTTGCCTTCCTGCATTTGGCACAAGGGATATAATCCACAGCAGTCTTTTAATTCCAGCTGTATTTCTCTTCTGTGATTCTTGTAAATAAATCCTAGGCAAGCCTTCTTTGTCCATTGCTCTCTTCATGCATTTTTTTTCAAGCAACATCCTTGCTTCATGAATCGCATCGATTTAATGGAATAAATGGATGGGCCTAAGTGTCAATCTCTGTAATATAGTACAAATCCCATTTCTTTTTTTCCATTAGCCTGAACACTTCTCCCCTAAATGCACTTAAACCAAATCCCATTAAGCCCCTGAGCAGTCAAGTATTCAGAGAGCGATGCTTGTGGTCTTAGCCTGAAACTGGAGCTGACTTCCCATGCTAATTGCAGACCTCAGGGGCAAAACATGGGCTGATCTTACAGGCATCAAGCGCTTGGCAAGTCCCCCAGAGGTCAGTGAGAACCACACATGTTCTGTACCTACCATGGCCATGCTTTAAGCCATATTTCAAAACCCTGTTCTGTGGCTCCCATACCTTTGACTGTGGAGGCGAAATACCACCTTTGTTCCAAAGACAGTGCAAACTATCCATTGCACCGAGGCACTCATGCAGAGGCCTAAATTCCAATTCAGAGAAACCCTCAAGGACCAGCCAAAAATGCCAGTATATTGTACTGTTAAGTTCTCAGTGCCAGCAACTAAACCTCAGAAGAGGCATTTCCGGCCTTTAGAATGAAGAAAATGCTGCATCAAGGCTAGGAAGCCACCAAACAATTGGAGTTTGGAAGTAACAGGATGGGGCCAGAGGAAGATTCTCAGCCTTCTGTGGAACCGCAGAGTGCCAGATTGAGACCCCAGAAGGGCCAGATTTGACTCCTCTGCCTGACCTCCTTCACCCCTATGATTGGAGTCAAATCTACAGAGTTAATTATTCATTTCCTCCGTGCTGCATCTTATTGGTAAAAGATATGAATGAGCAAGTTGGGGGGTGGGCATCTCTGCAGCGTATCAATTCACAAATGCCCAGCAGGGAAAGGGGTGAATCCCAAGGTCTGCTGGTACACTTAAGCAATACAAACAGTTCTGAAGGTGGGAAACCTACAGGTGAGCTCCTGGAGCAGCTCTGCCCTTGGGCAGCAGTGTATTTACACATTCTAAGCCTTAGAAGAAATACAAATACAAGTTGGGCTGAAACATATTCATATCTAGAACAGTTCTTTCCTAAACCTCATGTTGTCCAGTGAGCAAGTTGCATTCGGCCAACTTGAAGCAAAAAGCAAAAATCTCAATCTCAGATTGAATGAAGAGGTTTATTTTGGAAGTTAATTGTCAGAGGTTGAACACAAGACTGTGTTACTTTAGCACAAATTCCTACTGTCCACAAATAAGTCCACAGAGGAGGATTAGTGGTAGTCAGTGGCCAACAGCACAGTGTAACTACATAGACTGAAAAGGAAGCCAAACATGGGATGGATTGAACTGTTCCATCAGGACCTTTGATGGAGTTCACAAAGATCCACCTGAAATCCACCTGGTATCACCAGAGTGAACTGCATGTACCTTCAGCCCTTTGGTTTATCTTACATCCCTTTGCTCTTATTCCCTCAGATGGAGAAGAAAACAGATGCCTGGGTGGAAGAGGAAGTCTGGAGGAAGGAGATTTACATCTCGCTGGGCATCATGGCCCTTGGCTTACTCTCCTTGCTTGCCATAACATCACTTCCTTCCATCTCCAACTCTCTCACCTGGAGGGAATTCAGTTTCATTCAGGTAAATGCTGAACCTCAGAAAGGGATATGTTCCTCAGGTTCTGTTCTCACAGCTAAGCCACTGTTCATACTTCCAATGGCACATGTGAAATGGGACTCTAATCACAACACCTAAAGAGAGCCTTGAACCCAAGAGGTAATGTAAATGTTACAAATTTCACAGGGGTTAGTGGGATCTCCAAAAGAACCCTTTACTTACGAAAATACTTCAGAATTGGAAAATCACACAAGCTTCTGAAAACCCAGTACTGATAACCCAACTCTGACCCCCACCCTCAAAATTTAGAGAAGGCCTCTATATGGCAGAGGTATCTGGGGCCTGGATTGCCACTCCACACCATGGTAGTAGGCTGGGTGGCATTGTGAAAGAGCACCAAATATGAAGAAGCAGCTCCCGTTTTGACCAGAGAGCACCACAGTAGTAAAATAAGCAGAAGTCACCCTGGGTATCTTCTGGCACTGACAGGTGCTCCACAGTAAAACACAAACCTCCATGGGAAGCCCTGACAACTTCGTAGGCTTTGACACAGAACTGATCAGGTGCTATTCAGACTGGACCTGACTAGTGGCAAGCAGCCTCCTGTAAACACACTGCTTTGCCAACCTAGCTAAATAGTGAGCAGTGGTTATAAATAATACCTTGGGCTCAATAAAGAGAAAGGTATTTGTGAATGAACCAGCTGTTGCTTACAAGACAAAAATGAAATTTTTGAGCTCAAGAACTGTCCCACGAACAGAAGAAATCCAAGCAAAAAGCTGGGCCATCTTCATGTGAGATAGATTTGGGACCGGAGCACTGTAACACAGCAGTCTATAAACAGATTTCACAGTTTTGAGATAGGCTCTGATTTCCAGCAAAATCAAACCCTGTCTCTGCTTGCTCACTGTAAATTCACTTAAATCGGTCTCTTCATTTCCTGCCCTGACATTTCTTCCCAAGTGTTTGCGCTGCTTGTTGTGCTGTTGTTTTAAGCAGAGTTCCAAAATACCTTTAAGGTTATTTTGGTTTCTCTCTCTGCCATGGAAGAAATGTTTCCTTTAGAGAAAATAGCTTATGCTCTTGCAGAGAAGACTTTGGTTCATTTATGCATAATAGGATGTGCGTGTGTGTGTGCACACGAGTGTGTGAAAGACTTGCAGAGTATTCTGGTGTTACATGGCAAAATGCACTGGATTTTTAATAAGGATTGTTCATGTGTAAATAGCCTATTCCACAACGAATGCCTACTAATATTAGGTATTTGCATTGGAGCCTGCTGATTTCCCTGAGATTAGATAGATGCAAGCCTCTAACTTTATTTGGCTTTGGACAAATCTTGAAGAATTATCAAGAGAAATGGCTGCATCTATGCAGGGTTGACCCAAAATATCATGCAGCTCTAAGGAACTGAATATAAGACTGTGCCAAGCTCTGAGACATTGCTAGGGATCATAAGGCATATGTCTCTAGTTGTATTTTGCTTCATTGGCAATTCTAAAATCTTGCCATCCAGAGTGACCTCTTGCATTGCCTCTTGAGTCAGTTTAGCTCTACATATATAAATTCTTCCTTTGGAGATATTCCCCTGAGATAAGAGCCATCATGGAGTCATTTCATCCAAGGCTAAAGCAGTATGCTTAACCACCCAGAGAGCCTCGGCTATGGGGTTGTATATAAACAAATAAAATACATAAACTGAATTGGTGGAGACAGACCATGTACAGACCCTGCACCAGCAAAAAAAAAAAAAAAAAAGACTTGGCTGAGTTTCATTGCAAATGATGGAAGAAAATTAGAAAGAAGCCAGTTTTGGATTCACTTGCATTAATGATAGTTAATTAAACTTTTCAGAGATTGGCTTCACAACCTCAAGGTTATAAGATATAATAAGGCAGTCTTTCTCAACACACTGTCCTCCAGATGGAGCCATTGCTCCAACCCACATGGCCAATGATTAGGAGTGCCTAGATTTCTTGTCCAAAACATCTGGAGGAGAGCAGGTTGGGGAAAGTTCTAATAAGTTTTAGAAAACTGGATTTGGTGTCATATCTACCCAAGGTTAATCTTCCTAAAGCACTTTCCACTGTTTGAGGTCCAGCTAAAATGTTACAATCCCAGAAGGACCTTTGCCATATGGGAGTACTATAGTCAAGGCACATGGAGTCTGAAAGCAAATTAGGATATGCTTAAGCAGTGCTTTTTTCGTCATAGAACACACCGGAACAGAGTTCCGGCACCTTTTTTTGACAGATTTTCCAAGTTTTAAAAGTAACTTTTGAACATTTGATGTTTGGTCCATGGGGATTTGATCGCCCTGTCGAGAGTAGCAGGTCGGCAGCAAAACCATTAAAACGGTGCATGCGGGCTGCGTGTGTGTCGAATCCGATGCATGCGTACTTCACACTGGTGATGGCGCTGCTCGGCTTGTGACTGGTCGTGTGGTCACACTCTGAGTGCTTACTGCGCTGGCGACTGTTATGTTTCGTTACACAACTGACGTGTGTGGGTGTGTGTACAGTGATTGACTGTGTGCGATAGGTAAATAATTTCATGAGTTCCGGCACCGTTTTTCTTACAAAAAAAGCACTGGACTTAAGTGTCTCCATGCCAGAACTTTTCTGTATTCCCCTAGTATCTGTCGATGTGGAGACGTCTTACATGCTTTTGGATATCGAAGTAGTATGCAAACTTCAAATGGTGGCACACAGAAGCAGTTTCAACCACTTCAGCATGGGAGATAGCACCCAGTTTAGCAATGAGCCCATAGTCCAACAGATGGCCTACAGATGCACAGAACTACAGTAGGGACCTGCCCCAGTCTGCATGGTCATTGGCTGTGATGGGAGTTGTGATTTGCAGGGATTTGCAGGGAAAGCCACTTTGCAGGGAAGGCCACTTTGCCCAAGGTATTTTCACAATTCCTCTAGGGATATCCAAGCTAAGAAAGGGAACAACAGCCTGCCTCTCGCATAACATAGGCTGCGTGCCACAGGGATACAGGAGCTAGCACAGGGTACATGATTCTGAAATCTGTGTGATTTCCCGGATTGCCTTTGATCATGAATGTATCACTGAAAGTTTGTATAAAAACCTAAGAGCCATGTTGGATCAAGTTCTACCCTGTCCAGCACCATGGTCCTTACACCGGCCAACCTGGTCCCATGACCTACCAACAAGCAGGACATGAGTGTAGTGCTATCCTCCCATCAACGTATCCCACAAGTCATTACATAGGCATAGTGTCTCTGATAATGTAGGTGGCATAGAGCTACCTGGACTAGTAGCCACTAGTAGCCTTATCCTCCAAGAAAGCCTCTAGTCCTCCTGTAAAGCAGCCTATCACTGGTGACCACCAGATCTTATGAAAACGAATTTCATAGTTTAAGGATATATTGTATGAAGAAGTGCTTCCTTTTGTCTTGAGTCTCCCACAAATTCGCTTCATGAATTGATCCTTTAGAATACTCCCTCAGTTGCCAAAGAAGTTTCCCATGTGGCATGAGCAGCTGCCGTTCCAGATCTAGGAGCCTCCGCACACCTTGAGGGCAGAGACCTAGTCATGCACTGCTTTGGATCCCATCCAGTACCACTGTGGGAAGATGCATGTTTTAACATTTCAGACCAGGTTCTGACTACCTCCATGACATGTATTTTCTATATTAAATATGGAAAAATGTCAAGTTAGTCATGGCCACATCACATTGGCCATGTTCACATATTCAGAGAAGGAACCCCACACATGCTGGTCACATGCATTTCCATAATTACTCACACCAGCCAATGAGATGCAATCAGGACTGAATGGCCATGGATCTTGGTAACATAAATGATGGCTTCCAAACCACCCTGGAACCTTAGAAGAAGCCAACGAGTGCAGGACGGGTTGAAAGTCACTCCCACTGCCCATCTCACTGGATTTAGTCACCATGGTAACTTGAACACAGTATGGATAATTAAGGAAATGAAGTAACCAGCTTCTTTCTCTTCCCCACTCATGCAAACACAGTCACTGACATTTGTATTCATTGTGATTTTCTTCTATTTCTTTCTTCTATAGATTTTCTTCTGTTTTCTTCTAAGTTCTCATGGAACGTAGTTATAACTTCTGCTTTGGGATAATTCCACTTCAGATCATGTGTAGGCCATTCCTAAAAGTAAATTCTGAATACAATGGGATTTACAGCTAAGTAATTGTGGAATGGCTTGTAGCAGGAATCAGGCATTCAGTTAAAGACTAAGTAACTGTTCATAGCTATGTATGTTTTACCTGCTTGGAGAAAGAGACCAGCATTCTAGAGGTAACCTTAAAGGAAAAAAATATTTTTGTTCTCTTTCCCTTTTTCAGTCCACCCTGGGCTTTGTTGCTCTGGTTATTAGCACTCTCCACACACTGACGTATGGCTGGACAAGGGCCTTCGATGAAAATCAGTACAAGTTCTACCTGCCTCCAACCTTTACTCTCACTCTACTGGTACCGTGCGCCATAATCCTGGCAAAACTTTTCTTCTGTCTTCCTTGCATGAGCCAAAGACTACGGCGCATCAGGAACGGGTGGGAAAAGGACAGGTACGTCAAGTTCACCCTGCCCAGAGCATCAGGGGACTTCTCGAGTGGAGAAACCAGCAGTACTGTGTGACACCACACCTTTCCATGTCGGACTTCAGAGAGTGCCATGAAGGCTCTTTTTTACAGAGGTTTCTTTTTCTTTGCTTTTTCTAGTTTTGAAATTTGGAATCGGTGAATGGTGGGTGATAACTATTATTTTGAGCGTTGAACAAAAATTTACTGAAGTTGCTAGTTTGCACAACAGCATTTAGAATAGACTAGTAATTCTCAGGGTGGGGGGATGTTGCCTTAAAACATTGATGCAGAATTTTGCCCATATAAAGAAAGCAGAAGCATGATGAAAGCCTAGGCACATTCAGCATGAGGGTGAGAAACACCTTAGGAAGAATCAGCTTGTACCTGTCTGGGGTTTCTTAAGGCTACAATAATTCACATTTACTCCGACATTGGCTACGATGGTAGTGGGGCAGGATATTCACTCCGGGTGCCAGCCTGAATAAGGGCTACCCATGGCGTTGGACCTAGATGATGCCTGAGGGTTCAGCACTATGGATACCTTAAAGAGTTCAGACTGAAACCCAGAATGGATGTACTGCCCCACTGACCATCTTACACTGATCCACTTTGAACCACATAGTTGACTTACATCTGTGCAAACATGGAGATTACTTTGATAAAGCCAGTTCTTCTGCTTCGCATTGAGTACACATGCATCCGAATTGTCTTTTTTTTTTGACAAGCAGACTGGGCTAGGCCAGGTGCTGCTTGACTCTAACAGTGGGCCTTCTTTGTTGTGGCACCCTCTTTATTATAATGCCTTCCTTCCTAGCATCTGGTAGGTGCCAGAGGCAAGTTTTATGCACCAAGTTATTCAAGTCTTCCCTGAATTGTGCTTTCTAGCTTTGGTTTTAAATATGCTAACAGTGAGCTTTTTTATTTATTTTAATTTCTGATTTGCAAACCACTTGCAGCCATCTTTAGATATAAGTGGACTATAGATCAATAATGCAGAACAATTCACATTGTTGATTATGGGCCATGCTGGCTGCAGCTGATAAGATTTGGAAGCTAACATCATCTAGGGGACTGCAGGTTCCCTTGCACTGTGATTCTCAGCAAGTTTTCTAACAGAGAAATTATGCTGATTTCAGTGACTTAAATTTCCAGGGAATTGTATGAAGGATCATAGCATTATCTACCAGTCAGCCAAAATGCTAATAGAACTGTTTCCCTTAAACCTCTAATTCCTGGTGTAAAGATACTCTCGCTCAGGTTGGAACTTCAAGTTAAATTAAAAATACAGCGGCCCCTAAACAAGCAACATGTTTTAATCCTCTCTCAATAACTTGCATGCATTGTGCATTTCCCTACCCAAGATAATCAGCTGACACTGGCTGGGGCAGAGAAACACCAGTGCTGTAACACTGGAAGTTACCGACAGAGAATTAAGTTGCTAGATACGTAAACGCAGCATGGAATTCCAGTCACACTTCATCACTGGATCATGCAACTTCATACCTTACAGTATTCTTGTCAATGGCTCTCATTCACTCAGTAGCTCTGAATAAATGATCCTGCAAACGTGCTACACACCATTGCCTTTTAGCATGTCAGCCACTTAGGCAACATCCACTCTCTGTCTAGCTCCTGTATGCTTATCACATGTGCACTGTCAAGTGAAGAAATATGTGGATTTATTCATTTTCTTGCAAGCAAAAGGTGAAGAAGCTGGATAGCAACCCCCATTCCAGAGTGAGTAATCACAAGTTGGCCGTTATCCACGACTGCAGATACAGAATAGCAAATTTCGAGCATAGCTGATTCACTGCAAAGGCTTCCACACTCTTCTAGCCTGAAGCTCTGCTCCTCTGTCATTCTCTGCTCTGCTTGCCCACCGCCCCAGCCAGTTCAAGCAGCGAGCGATGACTTGCATTTCCTAGAATGGCTTGGAAAGTTTATAGAGAGGGAAAGCAGGGTGTATGAGCAAGCACAGGAAAGGTACTTTATATCCTTAACTGAGCGAGGCAACTGAGGGAAATTGGTATGTGTGGGTGGCAAAGCGAGGTTTGGGAAAGAAGTCGAGGCACAAGGCTCAGACTACCATCCTTTTTCCTGCTGGCATAGTTGATGTGGATCCAATTTGACTTGTAATCCACTTTGTCCCAGGCCACAATGGATTAAATCCAACCTTGGGCTGACCTGGAGTTCCTGAGGCCAGTATGGTTGGAATGCCCATTTTTAGGGTGCCTTGGATGATTAAGGCAATGTCCTCCCTCCTGCATCTGGGCCAGGGCCTTCATCAGATCACTGACTTATTTATCCACTTACAGCTGATCATTTTAAATTCTCATCCTTCCAGGCATGAAAGTGTTGTGGCCATATTAAATTTTCATTACATTGGTTATTGGTTATCCAACTCACTGCTATGACGCTAGCAATGATTACTGCTGAAGGAAGCCATCACCAGAATTGATGTGCACCCCTGACATACTGCGAAAGCATTTCCTTGTCTGCCAAATGTACCTCTCAGCTTTTGGACATTAAAACGTACAATGTACAAGTAAGGAACAGATCCATCAGCCCAGAAACACGTTTGATGAGCAGGCAGGGCTAGAATTGCCAGTGAGGGAATCTGGCTGTCTTCAAAGAGAGTAAGCTGAGCAGCAAATCAGGAGCTGCAATGAAGCAAACCAGACCCCTCTGGTTTGACTTAAAAGGATTTAATTGAGAGTGTATCATCAGCGTTACAACATACGGCTGTTAATATAAATGGAGTCTACTTGATATTGTGGGGACTCAGGATTACTGATCCAGAGCATAGACTACTTATTACTCCAGTAGAGAGGAACTTACACAAGAAAAGGATTTCCATGCACATGCAGATGTAAATGATTCTCCAAATTACAAAGCAGTCCCACTGAACTGGCTGACTATGCCTCAGTACCAGTCAACAGGGATGTACATTCCCTCATCACACTCACTGACTTGTGTACAACTGTGCACAGCTGGATTTGGGCTTGCTCCTCTAGTGAAGAAAGGGAAAGCTATACTGCAGCCACAGCAGATCCCCACGGCCAAACTCAGTGAGAACGAAGTGGACTGCATGTAAGGCTAGAAAAGCCCTAGTGTGCTCTGCAGACACAAGCAACCCATATCAAGCTTGCATTGTTAAACCAGGCAGAGTTTGTCTAGATACAGAATCAGCAGCAGCATGGAGTAAGAGAGCTCATGCATCACACATGGCTCCCTTTCAGGTTATTCTGCTTTGGCAGACATGAATGACCAGGCCAGAATAAACGTACCAACTAAAAGACACCTCCTCCTACCTTTCTTGAATGCAGGGAAGTCCTTTGGGGAACTTGGCATGGAAACGGGTCATACGGAGACTTGGGAGGAAATGCTCCTGGTCCACCAGTGCAGTTCTCCTTTAAACCATTCTGACACAAATTCTTAGGTTTAGAAAGCAATGCTGCCGTTCTGCATGAGAATCTCTAAAAAGGAAGCTGCAGAACATTTTGGTGCAAACTAGGAGTACTTTGGATTAGTGCTATGTAGCTCATGTAAACTGCATGCCTCTATAGTGTTGTAACAGTCTGGAAGACATCTAAAATCCTGGTGTGTGGAAGGCGCATGGAAGAATCAACAGCCAAATAATTTTATTTTACATACGGCTAGACAAAGATAACATAGCCAACTAGCAAAGATTTTCAAATAGTTTGAAATGGAATAGTCCAAAATCATTAGCCTCAATAGAAATGGCAAAGCAGATTAGTAAGGAGTTCCATGCAGCTCTTGCATGTGGATCAAGTACAGAGCAAAACAGGCTTTGAATAAAGCTACTCATGCTTTACCTACTGTTCCCAGTTTGGTGCTTGTCTTCCCTTCTTTAGACCCAGAAGCCCAGAACTGTGGCTTTGAGTTTCTCAGAAATTTGTCCCATGCCACAATGGATTAAATCCAACCTTATGCAAGTGGACTTTTCTGCTTCTTTTTCCCTGCAGCATCTCCACCCTACATCTCAAAAAATATGCCCCAGAAGGTATTCCCCCTACTACCACCAATTACTCCTCACTTGTTTTCCTTTTCAAACAAGGCGATACCTGCAAAACCAAGAGAAGTTTCTTTAAGAAGAGGCCAGCGGATGAGTTATTCATAAGATTCCAGTGAGGTCTTCAGTCCAAGGATCATTAATGCTGGAAGTCTATTACCCTTTAACATATGGGAAAAATACTGTGAGACTATGCCAGGAAGGGCAACATCCCATGGTTTGGGAACTCTTCCTACTTATCCTCAACATGCAACAGGTTAGGTAGCAAAGAGCAAGGGAAGCAAAGGGGAGGGGAGAGTAGCACCAGAAGCAAAGTCTTATGCAAGTGATCCCTGCATTCTTTAATGTGCCCTTCACTGACAAAGCCGCTACATATACAGGTGTAACAGTGTCATTACATAAACCCCTTAGTCCCCTCCAAAAATATTCTGTATGAGTAATTCTAAAAAGTAAGCTACTGCATCGGGTTTGCTTTCCATCATTGTTTGCTTTCAAGACACAAGAATGTGATAGAAAAGATTCAGCGTGGACCATGGTGACAAGGAGGAAGAAGACAGCAGCACAATTACTGGAGAACATGGAGGTAAATATGAGCCATGAGATGAAGAGTAGAGAACTGTTCAAGGCTCCACAAGTCTGCTTCCTAAAAATGGGAAGTCCTCTTGGCATCCATCTTGCCCAGGTTTCTGTTTTTATCAGGTGCCACCTGTACTTTCCAGTTTCTCCACAACTAGGAGATCCAGAAATGTTATTAAAAACCCTAATCCAGCACACAAGAAAAAAAATACAGCCCAGGTAGCTGCAATTTGATAGAGCATTTGTCTATACCATTTGATAGTACTCACATTCGCCATTAGCTAAAACAGTTCATAAGCTTCACATATAAACACTACTGAGGATGCCAAGTTTCAGAACTGTTGCTTGACTATACACTGAAGCTTCCTGCTCCTATAAAATATTTGATAAGTTATTGTTTTTATTGCAGAAGCAAGCTGCTTTTTCTAAAGGTCATTAGGAAACAAAGCCCTTCTGTAAATAGTTAATACATTTCCAACATGTAATTAGTGGAATAGAAAGGTTGCGGAATGCTTGCTTGATGATATATCAATGTTATTTTTCTATTGATATTCTATAATGGATATACTGTGGCAAAATGAGATATGAAATGTATACTGCCTATATCAATGTTTTCTGCTCTGCCTAATTTGTGCCTTGGGAGTTTTAACCAGTTATGATCCCGCTTTGTAGTAGAACTTATTTTTCCTGTTGTCATCATGTACGAAATGTAATCAGGCTGTACCTATGAAATGGAAATACTGATGCTAGTGAACCACTGACCTCCCCAACACTTGTATTTGCAATAAATGGTTATTTTTAAAGATGCTTTGCATTTTATCTTACTGTGGCAAAGCTGAGACATTTCCACTCCCTTCTTTACTAGGGGAGGGACAAGACATCCAAAAAGCTTGCAACATTCTGGGGAGGGACAACACTCTAAAGTGGACGGCCAACTTCTCCATGCAGTCTCCTGACATTTGAGCATCTTCCAAAGAAGTGGTAAGACACATATAGCTAAACAAAGGAAGAAAGGAGGATAACAGGAATTTAATAGGTCTGCCACTCGTGTGAGATGACCTTCATTGACCCATATACATTTTTTGGGTGGTATCCTCCATAGCCCCATCCTCCCACAATGATCTGGGACTGCCTAGGCAAGAAAAGTCTGTTCAACAGCTATTTAAAGAAAGAATAAGTAAGCAAATAGAAAAAGGCATTGGGTATCCTTCCTTTATCACTTTTCCTTTTAGGTATTATGTCAAAAGAATGCAACATATGAAAGACACTACCTTCTGGGCAGGAAATGCAGAATTTTAATAAGATTATTTGGCAGTTGGTTTTTAATGAGTTCATTTCAATTGCTGCTCTGAAGCTCAACTTCTGCAGGCAAAGCTTTTAACATTCCCTAGATATTTGCAATGGAATTTTAGCAATTCTTTGTTTAAGGTGTTTGGTCCTAGCCAGAGCTTAATTCAAGCTTGGATCTAGGGGATTGTATCTCCCATCGGTCATCAGGACAGCAGCAGTAATGTACAATTGGACAGACACAAAACATTCTAGATGAATTTGCATCTGTTGTAAGCAAGGATTGCTTCCAAGATATGTTTATATATGCAAGTTTTAATCTAGAACTGACCTGATATATTCAGTCCCCTTTAATTTCAATCAGACTTGCTTCTGCTGCAGAAAGCCACAGAGCCTGATCTTATGCAAGTTTGCCCCGGAGCAACAGGACAATGCACTTGCTTCAAAGTAAATGGGTAGAGAATTATAGTTTAAATGTCTTTAAAAATGGTACTGTATGTAGACTAAGTCATCAAAACAAAGGTGACTGTTTAAAAACAGACACTTGAGAAGATTTCATAACCATAGTGTTCAGAGAACTGATTGTACTAGTATATATAATGAAGATTATATGCTCCAAGGATTTTTATAATCCTCGGTACAGCAAGCATCAGTCTTTGAAGGCACTGGCATTTCGATGCTCAGGCATTTTAGGTTAAGCCAATCCACCAATTGTTCACGCCATTGCATTTTCCTTGTGCCTGCAAGAAAAAGGACAGACTGTGCTGACACCTTGTGGCTTTTGCAACAGACAACTTTAAGACTCCCTTCTCCCTGTAGGTAACTGAGTAAAATTGCATTGTTCTTCAAAAGCAGTTAAGGTATGCCTGTCATTGTGAGACTTATAGTAATTCTGGAAATGTGCTCAGCAAACTGTATGCTTGTCATTCACAAAATGGCTCTCAGGTGACTGAATACTTAGGAACATCAGTATATTAAAAGATACACCTGTACAACTCCAAATTGCCATAAACACAAAATCTACCCATCGCTATAACAGTAAAATTACCATGCTGTGCACCTAAATGGGAGAAAGGGGAGTAGGAGACTCTCTTTAACTTTGGCAGGAAAATAGCCTACCAGAGCAGCTGCACCGACACAAGGCATTTCAAGTCCCCCGTAACTTGCTCCCTGGGGCAGAAGAAGTCCAAGTCTCTGCTCTCCAAAGCAACTGGCCATGAAGAAAGAGTACTGAAACCTAAAGCAGGACACCAATTTGTCCACTGTGTGAGCCCAAATAATCAGTTCAGAACAACTTGCAGCAGGAGGAACTGGAATCTGTAGCATGAGGTTGGGAAGGAGATCCTGAGGCACATTTCATCTGTTCTGCAAAGAAATGAGTACTGGGGAGAAGGGAAAAAAGGCAAAGATGTTCTCTCAGTCCCTTTGCCCCTCTCCTCTCCAAACCCATAGTTCATCCATGACCTACAGTCAACAGGTTGTTCCTTGTACCCAAAAAGTTCTTGAGCTATTAAACAAATTCTTATTTAACTCAGGTAGCTTTCCAGCCACAGTTCAAAATAGTATTTCCAAGCACCACCACATCCACTCTCCTCAAATTTATCAAAATGTATCTAAGATGCTAACAATGATCAGGACTGTAGTCATGGACAGGGTGGACAGTTCATCAAATGGCAGGATGAGAACTTAACCACATACTTGCACTCAGTAACATTCTCATCACATGCAAGTAAGATATTATTCCCACTCTCAGTATGGTTCTATGCCCATGATAATTAATGGCCATTTAATTTTTTTCTGTATTTACAACAACTTTGATTTACAAGAAATCAAAGTTCTTTTGCCAATCATCCAACTACCTTCCTGTCTGTTCAGAACAAGGTTTTTCATAAAATCCTGCTCAACCCTTAAAACCCAACAAGAGAATTGTGTTTGAATATTTAGCCTCAGTCAGTGTGCACAGATCAGCTACCACCTCTGATTCCTTTTATATTACTAAATCTGAAAAGTCTATTGAGTGAGCTATATAGAAGGAATGGACTGTCGAGAGCTAGGATTCTTCCCTTTGCACATGCAAAGTCACAGATCATTCTTGCCAAAAGTTCTTTATTGATCACAGCTTTTTCCAGAAGCACAACCACCCAGAATGAATCTTGGAGCATGCACAGAGCAGTTCATTGAACCAGATCTAGTATTTACTTCTAGGACTCTCCTTATGAGTATGTTTGAGCCCGACCCTTTCAGGAGGGGCGCTCTCGAAATAAGTACGCCTCCAATCTGTATGCAGATCCTAACGGATGTCCTCTGCCAACATTGCATCATGGGGTCAGAGCCATGCCCATCTCATCTGTCTCGGAAAAACACCCCTGTTCCAAACCTTCCTGCTAACTGTACATCTTGGTCATTTTCAGGGGCTACTGGAGCACCTGGGGAGTCCGGCCTCAAGATAAGCATTCCGCTTCTCTCGTCTCAACCAGAATTGGTCCACATTCCGAGGCCTCCCCCTGTTCCCAATCAGGAGACCCTGGGAACACGCACCAATAGCCACTGTCCTCCTCACTCCCAACACCGGCTGTGAAAGGGTAGAGCAGCTGGAAGAGCAGCCACTCCAACAGAACTGCACCAAATTCTCACTTGCCAGTCAGTCTTATGACTAGCTTAATACAGATTTTAATGTTAGAATAAAGATAAAATGTAATGATATTTCCATAGCCAGCATATCAGTCTTAAATCCCTACATATTAGGCATCGAGAGATATTTCACAATAACAATGCATTGACACATCATACATTTTAACTTTTTAAAAATGAAAGTAGATGAAAAGCAAATTAATCAGCTTTTATTGCTCCCCACCCCCACTTCTGGGTCTCTTGTATTTCTGTAAATATATAATGCTTACAATACATACATCTTTTAAGTTTTTAGAATGAAATTTCACAGGAAGTACAAGAAAAATTCTTCTAAGCTTCAATATCTTCACCAGGTTGCAACAGGATTTACTTTATATTTTCTGTAATCATCCATGCAGAAAAATGCTAGCTCTGTTTCATTTGCTGAAAGGAAAAGTATTTAACATATTTAGTGAAAACATGAATTTCCAAGCCCCAGAACATTATATTAACATTAATTACAATCACAGATGGTACTGAATGCTCTGTAGTTAAAGGCTATTGCTAGATACCAGCTTGTTTTCACATCAGATCTAAATACCAAGAATGCATTTAAGCCCCAAATACCCAGATGCATAGTACAATTGGGTGGTGGGGGTAGGAGGAGAAGAGAAACCTTGTTAAATAACAAGCGTTCATTAAGCACTTTTAAACCAAGGGCTATAAAATCCTTTAGATAGCATTCCACACATTTTAAGAGACAGTTTTTCCTTGGCATACAAGGAAACAAGAAAGTCTGCATTTTTACTTGCCTTTTCCTATTGGAGGGGTATGTTTCCCCCCGAAATTAACCTGTAGCCATAATAATTTAATACTAAGAGGATCAGTAGAATATTTTACAGATCACTTTACATTCTCCCTCATGACCCATCAAAACGTGTGTCTGAAGAAGCTAATTTTTTGCCCTGCCGATGATTAATTCATGAGGCTTCAACAATATGCAAAGTGAAAGACACAAATTGGCTTCTCCAGCAATACCTTCAAATGCCTCTAATTATTCACAGGGGATACAGCAGAGCTAAAGGACCCACAAAGGTTCAGAACAGTCACAATTCTTTCCACCCAGCAGGTCAAGGACTTCCTCTTCTAAAACAATAAGTCAGCAACATTACTAATTCAGAGTAGAGACGGAGCTGACGGAAAGCCATCACAATTATAAGACGTGGAATTCTTTTGAAGTGTTGAGCCACTAAGTTCCACACTCGCTTTTTAAAATTAAACCAGAAGTTAATGAAGTCTGCTTGAGTTATGCAGAAAAGAGGGGGGCAGAAGGGGACTCTGAATATTGACTAAGAAATCTCCAGGAACTGTGGGCAATAAAAACTGAATGCTTAACTGAAGAAATGAACAGGCAATGAAAACTGAAAACTTAACATGCAGCACACGTGCAAAACAAAAAAGAGACACACATTTAAGCTTTGTTTATCATATGACAGCTGCCAAAAAAGTTATTCTCATAAATGATTCCAATTAGAGGACTGATCAGAGGACACTGTTTGCAGTCCCCAGGGCAGATAAGTTTTAGGTTTGCACACTTTTTCCATCGTCTCTCTTGCAAGTGAAGCAGGAGATTCCCCATTTATTTCAATGTGCTTTGCCTGTTCAGTTTTTTTGCAATGAGAAAAGCAAAAGGAGAGAGCGCAGAAACCCAAGTACTGTCTGCATAGCCCCATCGAGGAAGCAAAAGGGAAGCCAGTTATGGGAGGCAGAAGCTTTATTAAGAGTCAGAGCCTTTCCTCCCTATCTTCCTTGGTCTCATTGCAAATAATCAAAAGCTATTTTAAAAGGTAGTGCAAGTAATAAAGACAGCTTTCTTTTTTGGAAAAAATACATTTGGTTCAAACAAATTTCTTAGATCGGAAATTTAATTGAACAGATGGTTTCAGTCCTCATGAAGAGATTCAGTGGCTGAGCAGCTCCTTATTTGGAGGGTAAAATGCTTAGCCTACCTCTAAGGAAATAACATTCTGTATGGCAAGAGGTGGGACATGCTTCCTTCTGCTAAAACCTCACCCAGAACACCGCTACCTCGCTCCTCCTAAGCAGTATCCAAAACTGTTGCTCATTCCATTGCACCAGTGGGAACCCCGCTGGTCCCACGAGAAGTTAGCACTTCCTAAAAGGAGCCCTGGGAACACATCGGAATGCTTATTTTCAGATTAGTGGAGCTCCTTTCTGCAAGCATCCCTTGGCATACGCTATTCTGAAAGGAAGCATTTTTACTTGTTTCCCTAGTCATGTCCCTAGTGCACAGCCCCAGGGGCATGTGTACAGCACAGGATAATGCCCCCTACCTGCACCACCAGAAGTCACCTTCCTCACCTTGCTGGCTGTGTGTGGCCTCAGTCGTATACAGGCATGCTGCCTGACACCAGCTGCTGAGCAGCTGGGCAGGCAGTACTCTTGTGCCCACCCTGCTTGAGGGATCCCGTGGACAGCTGTTTTGCTACTGTGTGGACAGGGTGCCGGACAATTGATCTGATCCATCAGGGCTTCTCTTACACTCTTACGCTTTAAGGCATTTTCCCAGACCAAGATAAGGAAGCATTAAGCATCTTACAGGACTCATCCACTGGCCGCTTTATAGCACAGGAGCACAACTGACACCTCTACAAAGTCCTGTTGGGTGGGCCTCCACGTCTTCTACCCACTAAGAGGAAAACTGCCATAAGAAAGTATTAATAGCAGTGGTGCAGCAGGAGCAAACTTGCTAGAGCAGGAGAAAAGCTGCCTCTTCCTTCCCTAGGGACGCTAAAGCAACTTGGACTGGGGACAGCTGTGTGAAAGTGAGTGGATGTGCACTTTTTTATCTGCAACCCCAGGTACCCCAGCAGACCTGAGTGGCTCCTGGGGCCAAAAAGACCATCCACTCCTGCCTTGCAGGAGCATTGTACTCTCTTTTCAGTCCGACTGCCTGGCACTTGCCTATGCTGCTGGTCAAATGCTGTGCTTCTATTTCTGAGCAGCATACGTGCCAGCACCCAGGCCGCTACAGAAGACTTCCAGAACCACAAGATGGTGTCTCCCACTGGGGCAGATGGCCTTTCCCCTGACAGAGTCCTCAGGGCAAAGAAGCCAGCCATGCTCACTCCAGTGCCTGCTGGTCCCATGTTTAAGTCTTGGCCTCCATCAGGAGAGGTAGGAACATTTCAGACTGGTAGGGAGGCTCCACTAGCATAAAGGTACAAGATCATATCATGATCTTACACAACCCACTAATAAACCACATAGGCATGCCTAGGCATACACTGTATGAACTTAATATTTAGTAACCTAGGCAGTTGGTTGGCTGGTATCGCAAGAACAGCTGGACTCTGCATCATTTGAGTGTTGAGTCTAGGTAGAGTGTGTAATAGAAAGCTTATTTGCTTCTGTAACACCAGCAAGTTGTTTATAGAGGATGCAATCAGTAGCCACTGTATGACTCTCTTCACTGAGACAGTGATTGCTACAGAAAGAAATTGTTTGCATACTGTGTAAAACGTTTAAGCAATGCAGCAATTAGTGTGTGCCAAGTTCTGTGAGAAGGCTGCCAGTGTCACACCGATTCTCTAGTGCAACAGAAAGAAAAAGGGTGAATTTCTCTCTATTTGAACTGGCCACAAAGCAACACAGAGTTCATTTTAATTAACCTGTCAGTTGCATTATTTTTAGTCGAATGTCTTTGCAAAACAAACACAAATCTATTTAAAAGATAAAATAAGACATAAAATTATAACTGTCTGATCTCTATACTATTAGCTACCACCAATGCAAAACCTCAGCTCTGGTTGTCCTTTGCACAATTAACTATGCTACATACCTTTTCCTATTTTTCTCATTTTAAAAAATGACTTTGAGAAATAATAAATGACCTTGGATTAGCTCTGATATTGAAAATTTTTCTATTTGTTGACATAATTATTACTTTCATTATGACTACACTAAGTAGCACTTTAGCAACAGTAACATGTTAAACAACATTTTAATTGCAATCATGAATTATGTTAGTAATCGCCTGAACCACATACGTACTGTTATGAAGAAATTTGTTAAATCAAAATGCAAAGAATAAAAAGGGCAGGATCCAGAATTTCTGTTCCGTGTAGAGAAGAGTGCCTACTCTGAGACTTCAGGTCAAACATAGGAATCCTGCTGATGGAATGGAGAAGGCGGTAACCTTTGCCAATCCCCGCTTCCCCTGCAAGTTGGGGGACCCTCCGGAACAATGGGGGGAGACTCGGACCATTGCACTTTTCCAGAGTGTCCTAAATCACTCCAGGTTCTGGCCTCATGCACACAAGCAAGGAATGGGCCTATTCACAAGAGAAAGTAAAACTGCACTCGTTGCCACTCATGCATATGATATGCAAACAGGATCACAGACTGCCCCACAGTGGGGACTGAATTTCATAGCTGGAAGGGCATTTAAACAGAAGTCTGCTCATCTTAGTTCACCTCTCTTAACCATTAACATTCACAGGTTCTCCATGCTGCATTAATCCAGAAAATCAAGAACAGATCTTCCATTAAAAAAAAAAAAAAAAAAACCCTTACACTGATTTAGAAGACTCACTATGATTGACATGTCACATTCTTAGCCTTTTCTCCTTTGAGATCCTCATTCCAAATCTCCACCAGATGCTCACAGGCCACATCTTGGGGAGGATGCTACACATATGAGGAGTCACTACAAATTTGGCTTTTGATAGTGAGGAGTCTTGGAAGCTCTGCTACTGCCAAAGAAGCACTTTACTTGCTCAGAGCCGAGCAGGCATCTGGTTGGCCACACAGGCCAGTCCCCTCACATTGTTTCCTGCACAGCCTGCCCCATGGGACTTTCCAATCAGAAAGTGAGCCACTATGTTCAGATACGAGCCACATGCGCTTACGCTTGCGTTCTCCCAAGTGATCCAGGTGACTCTTCAGCACTGCACTGCAAATTATTAAACATTATTAAACTCATCTCATTACTCCTTGCTAGTTCCACTGCTTAAATTTCCCAACCAAAACATCAGTTTAAATGTTACAGAAAAGACTAAGCAGACATGGTACTAATAACCAACCTGTCAATCATTTAAAATTACCCTCAGCAGAATTCTAAGCATACTTTCTTTTTTAAAAATGCTGCCATTAGCATTCTGAAAAGAGTTATGTGGTGCCCCCAAGCCCAATGATTTGAATGTACATTAAGCTGCCGCCACCCCTCCCCTCCTGAATCATTACCAAGTTGCACACATAGCATCAGGAATAGCATTTGCTTTTCAGCCGGCTATCCAAACATAATCAGCCACTCTGAGGATAATGACAAGTACAATCCAAGTGAGCTACCTACCAACTCCAGCTGCTTGCAGGGTGCTCTCCTCTGCCAAAATGAGTTTCTCATCATCTTCTAAGCTCACAACAAGCTCATTGGTCTAGACATATGGGGGAGAAGGAGGACAAATATGGGACTGTCAAAGGCAGGCCACTTCCAATATCTAACAATTAAATTTGGTAAAATCTAGGGGAAAGTGAGCAATCATAACATGTACCTTAGAGCCATGCGCCTGGTGAATAATCTTCATTGTGTCTGAAAGAGAAAGCTTATTTTGAGATGTGATTTGTTTTCTGACATTTAGTTCTATATTACCTCCCTTTCACAGGTTACCTTGTGGTTTCTCTGGCCATGGTTTTCTTAACCAACTAGCAGTAAACTAACATGACTGTTTGGCAGTGATGTGAAAGAGTCCAGATCCTCCCCAAGCAGTATTGCTTATTGTGATAACAGCATCATCTACACCTATTTAACAGGAAGGTAATTCCACTGAATTGATACCTAGTAAGCTTTAGCTGGATTCTAGCCTAGATGATGATGGATGATAGGAAAGTCAGATATCTCACTGCACAGACATCAGAATACAACCATTTCTAAGAAACTGACTACAAATTGCAAACAGTTATAAAATTTGGCAGGGGAAACATTTTGCCCAATAAGACACTGTGAATGTGTACTTTAAGCTCATCTGCAATTTTCTTCTCATCTCCCCATGAAATGTCTGTTTCTCCTTGTTTCAGAGTACATAATGCTCAAGATGGCACAAAGCGGAAAATATTAGAGAAAAACTACAAAAACATTATCCTCTTATACAGACCCAAAACAACAGCCATCTCTGTTCTCCTCCCTAAAGTGAAAGGGTTACACACTTACACAAATCCAAGTTTGTTACACCCATAATGTTCTAAATATGATCATAATATCCTGGAAACTATTCAAGGACACCAGTCTTCATTTGTGATTTCACAAACAGCAAGAATTCCAACCTTCAATGGCAGTTTTACTAATGCTGCTTTGTAATTACATGGAACACAAACACACACAACACACACACACAGAGTAGGCCTCACTTTAACAGATAAATCCACACTATCACTTACAATTCCAGTAAAATTTAAAACTACTATAATCTGGAAGTATTTGGACTGTTATTCTTTTCTGACACGACAAGACTTCAATAGGCTACCTACATTAGTGTGATGCTAACAGGCAGCCTTTAAACAAATAACTTTCACAGGAATTCTAACTTATTAACCCCCCCCCCCCCGTTCTATTGTAAGTCTTCCACTCAACTACGGTGTGTGCACACAGACACAAACTGATTTATACCTTCCCATGGATAACAGTCACTAAAAACATTGTTTAATATACAAGGTGCCCAATATAAGCTAAGAAAGATGAGAGTACAGCTGTCTTGGAATTGACAAATCAAGTGGCAAACACATGTTAAACATTCTCAGATAAAATGAGGAATGGCTGCAGATTCTGCAATTGCTCATTATAGCATGATCTGCACATTTAACAGTGCTGACAACTATTCTATATTTTGGATAGGTATAAACCTGATAAATAAACCTGAACTAGGTTTTCTCAGTATCAATGACTGTTTTAACATCTTTGATAATAGCCAACTTTTCACAAACTGACTTCCCCAACACCAGATTATAGCATGATACCCCTTAATTTTTCATTGCCATAATTTCTTCAAAATTAGCCAGATAAATTCAAAAAGATCAATTTCCAATCCCACTACAAATATAGTTCTTTGTGTTCACAGAAATCAAAGAAGTTTGCCTGGTCTGCTTTTCCTTCCTTTTATTTTAAGTAACCTAGCTAATACATTGTTCCTCTTTTAGCATGTCCCAATACAGAAATTCTACCCTAGATATTGAGAAATATCCATTATAAATAAAAGTGTGTTGGTAAGCACATTTTCAAATAAGAAGCAGTACATTAATACTTCTAATAAATAGTAACAAAAAGAAATACATCTAACTGCCTGTAATATTTCAAACTAGCCATAGTACAGATTATAGGCATCCTGTGTATGAGAATAAGTGTGGTGGTTACAGACATGCTCCACAGGACTATGCCCTAAATTATTTTAGATTTAAGTTTAATGTAAAATGCCAGCTCCAAATGCTAATCAATTTGGACTCAACACCCAGAATTCAAATTACTATGCAATTTATACGAAGCAAGGGAGCCAACCAGAACAAAAGACTGCTGTGATTGACAACAGGGAGGACAGAAAAACCTTTTCCACCTGGAAACAGACAAAATGGGTGGGGTGATGATGTCACGGAACCAGCCATGCCCACTGATCTCCTCGGACCCCTGACAATACAACCGTGGTACAAACTGGCTCAGCACCCTGAGCTCTCCCACGGCTTTCCCTACAGTTCACTCAGTAGCGTTTGCTTTGCTTAATCTATTTATCTAAAGCAGCCAGTGCTGCCTTAAAGGGAGTCACCACTAGGGTGGCGATTCTTGTTTCTCCTTTGCTTTGGCACCCAGGCAGAATCATGCATTCCCTTATTACGAGAAACAGTACCTCTCAGCACGGTATGCTTGTATCTTTGCGTGTATATGGCTTTTATAGTGTAATCATGGTTTTGATCTTCGTAAACCACCCAGAGAACTTCAACAATTGAGTGGTATAGAAATGGAACAACATGAAATGATTGAGCTGTCATGCACTATCTTTTACTTCTGCTTCAATCTAAATATTAGATCATTTAGCAAACTCATACGTAAAACCTCTCCTGTTTACCTCCAGCTTCATTCTGACTCGCTTCTTATTTACTATGCAAATTTTCAATGCATAAGCCCCTCATTCCATGCTTCCAGCTCCTGTTTGGCTACCCCTTCTGACCTCACAATTAGTTGTTGGATATTGAAATGCAGACGCACGACAGAAAACCGATTTCAAAGGATTGTGGGTCATGAGCTGCACTTCAACATGTGAGCCAACTTTAAAAGGCACTTTAGGAAGACAATAAAAAATTAATACCCAAAAGACAACTCTGCCAATTAACACCAGCATGAATAATGTGCAGGCTAATGCTGAAGTGAATACCAAGATGTATAACCCTTTAGCAGCTCGATGAGATAAAGTCCTGGCTGTTACAGTCCTGAAATGCCTCCTCCTCCCTACCCAGCACCTGCACTAAGCTTCCACAAATACACCATGACACAGTGTTGACTGCTCTTCCTGCAGCTCAAGCTTTTTAACTATTCCTACTTCATAGCATCCTCCTTTCTAAAGCAACCCAAGCCATTATGCAAAATATCCTGTTCAGATATGATATTGGCAGCTCAGGTTAGGTGGGGTCATACGGTGTCACAGCAATAAAAAGCTTATAAACTTCACAAAAATCAGCCCAGAACAGCTTCGTTAAATCAGGAGTTGGGCAACTGTTTAAGAGAAAAGGCCATGAGAGAAAGCAGTTAAATGTTCAAGACCGAGGGTACTTGGAAGACAAATGATACTGATACAATGAACACTCTTAGGTCTTTTAACATGTAAGTTTGATTCTGTTTCATAATATGAATATCCTTTATACTTAAATTGCTATGGGGGCTACATCTACCCTCCCTGAGGTAGACTTGGCAGTGCGGTCCTAGATCTCCGGCCTTCAGAGCAGAATAAAATGCAACTCAGCACTACTCAACTACAGCTGCAATGCAGGTCACCCAGACCATAATCCTGTTTCAAGCTGTTCCTATGCCCACTTACTCAGAAGTGCAATATGGCTTACTCCCAGATACGTGCGCTTAGGACTGGGGCTGTAAACTGCTGTGTTTTTTTCTCTCTCAATCTCTTCCCCTACTCCTATCAAAACTAAACAGGACAAGCTCTTGTAAGAACTACTCATAACTAATTATAGACATGGATAAATTATATGTCCTTTGTATTTACTTAAAGCAAATTAAATCTCCATATAAAATAATCTTAAGAGTAAAGGCAAACATACCATAGCTATATCTTTTAAAAGGAGGTGGAAGTCCTGTCCTTAATGCCACATCTGCAGGGGGGAAAAGTTGAAAAGAAACATCAACAGTTTTCACACTAATTTAACAGGATGGGTATACATGCATCTCTTTGCTTAGGACTAACAGTACAGCCTTCTGCATATTTACTCAAACTATGGTCCACAAAATTAACTGGAGTTTACTCCCACATAAGCATGCATAAATGTACAGGCCAAGTCATGCAAATAAAGGAAACATGCCCACACAGTCAAGAAACAGACCGAGCTTGCATGTCGCACTATGGTTTATCAATTTTACTTGCATCTTGCCTTTCTACCAAACATTTGTACCCAAGGCAATTCACAACCACTAAGAAAGCTTGACAAGAACAGTAAGAAAATACTCGAACACAATGTAAACATTCCAGTACTCTAGTACAAGCAGACTCCGACCCAAAAGACCAACTTAAACACCAAAGACCAGCTTAAATAAGGTGGTCTTTGCCTGCTGGTCAAAGGGCAAGGGAGAGGGAGCGAACCCAGCCTCCTTCAGTGGGAAAGGAGTGGCTATCAAGAAGGCCCTCTTGTACATCTCCACCAGATGTACCTCAAAAGGGGGCAGTCTAGAAAGAATGGGCTCTCCAGTACCTCCTAAGAGTCAGGCGGGCTCACATGGGAGAAGGCAGTCTTATAGGTAGCCTGGTCCTGAGCTGCATAAGGCTTTGTAGTCCATAATCAGCACTTTGAATTCTACCCATAAACAAAGCAATAGCCAGTGAAGCTGTTGCAACAAGGGAGTTATACTGCCCACAACCAGCCCCACTGAGAGTCTCACTGCAGTCTTCTGAACCAGCTGAAATTTGACCATGGCCCGACTGTACATTTCTAGAAACAAGAGCAGATGGTGCACTGGGTTCAGTTGCGCCAACACACTCATGCTCACTGACAAGGCCTGAACATCCAGATTCAAGGCCAAGTCTAGAAGAACACCCAATCTCTGATCCTGAGTCTTCAGGGAAAGTGAAACCTCAACCAGAAGAGGTTGAATCCTTGTTCCCTGAACTGCCTTTTAACTAAACAGGAGCACCTCTGTCTTGTCTGGATTAATCAAATCAGAATTAGGTTTGTCTGTACCAAGCATTAATCCCCATTTTTACCACTCAGGCTGTCCCACAATTTTGCATTAACTCATATAATTTACCCACAATTTCATGTTCAAACATGATGGCAATCTGCAATTATGCAAGCCATGGTTAAGCAAAGCATGCTTTGTACTTAGATGCTAGCCGGATGACTGGCTGTCGGCAGTTCAGGTTTCTTTCATAGCCCTTCGTGAAGATTACTTGTGAAGTGGAAATATGCAATGAGCTGCAGGCCTTCCTTTTGGGGATACTAATCAGCCATTCTCTAACCTTTTTCCTGCCAAGTGATCTTTGGACACTGAGCAGCAGCAGGCAACCATAACAGCTTCTTACCATTCTTCACAAATTCAGCAAACTCTTTTACAGTCTGATTCAAGTTAACACCATGGTACACGACAGGCCTGAAGTTACGATGCTCAAAGGAGCGAACTAGACGCACAGTAACAGTCACATATTCTGGTGACATGTGAGCTAGCCGCAAGTTACCTGGAAGGCAAACAGATAATACAGCATCAAAATTATTTCTTCTGAAACACAAGGAAACTGGTGTTGGGTATAAATGAGGTATTTCTTTAAAAATATATATTCCAGCATTTTTGGAATTCAATACTTTCAAACAAAGGATGATTGTAAACAGGAAAAGTAAAATGCAGTAAAGATGGCAGGAGATGTTTAACTGGTTTCTTTCAATCCTTCAAGATAATGAATTTGAGACTGAAAGGGGTATTGTAAAATATTGTGAAATTCACAGAAGCGCCACATTTTCATTAGAATTTTATTCCTGTAAGCCGTCCTGAGGCTTTCGCAAAGGACGGCATACAAATGTCTTAAATAAATAAACAATAAATAGATCAAGTTCTGCCAAGAACCCTACTTTCTGACCACTGATCAATTACCACTAAGCCCTCTCATAATTTTTGTAGGAAACCTTAGTTTACAGTTCTCACCACCAGCAACAATTTAGAAAATCCCAGACTCTAGACCAGCATTTCATAGTTCAGATCAAGTAGTGCACACTGAAGAGAGAGCCATGTACAGTGCAAAGGGTACAGTTCAAAAGGCTTCCCACACAGTGGGAATTTAATAAGCTGATCAACTTGCCTTTCAGAGAAAACCAGAAGATTATCTAAGGCAAATGGAAAACATTTAATGACTGTTTAAATAAGGCAAATGGAACTAAGGGCTAAACCCAAACAGGTATATCATCTTCCAAACGATTTCTACAAAGTTTTCCCTTGAAGACAGGCTATCTGCTGGATGACACTGGGGCAGTACAAACCTGTGTAGTGCTGGAGCAAGGACAAAAGTTGGAGCTTCTGAGGAATCCAAAACCCCACTGATCTGGCACAAGCCCAGCACAGAGGAAAAGAGGAAAGAATAGCATCACCATTCTTTTTTTCCCCTCTCCCCAGACCATTTTTATTTTACAAATCCCATCCCACTGGAACTAATGGGAAGAAACTAATCTATGCCAACTCCAGGACTAACATCGCTCAGGGCCAGTTTTTGGGTGAGCCAGGTAGCTAAGAATCCTACAACCTCACAGCATCTTCCAGCACATCCATCCCAACGCACCCGTCTTTTGAAGAAGGGCAACTGGAGTGTTCAAGGGCTAGGAGGGAACATCCACGATTAGGTTTCAGATCAACCTCTCAGATGATGGATTTTTCATTCTGTTCTGTGGATCAAGGGAAAGAGATACAAAACATTCTATGGCCCCGGAGGCATGCCCCCAAAGACTCAAGGCATCTCAAGCATAAAGAACGCTAAACAACTCTCTTGCAAAATTTGCTCTCACTCAGCCATGAAGCTCATATGGTAACATCAGACACTGACACTCAGCTGTACAATTCTGATAATGAAGTGGATGAGGATCATGTAAGTTGCCTTGGGTTCCTTGCAGAGAAAAAAGGCAGGGTATAAGTGAGATTATGATTTTTATTTATTTATTTAGAAAATTTCTAGGCAGCCCCATTCACCGAAGCCTCGGGGAGGCTTACAAATAAATTTAAGCCTCATTTTAAACATATTTCCCTCAAATTTCACTATCATTCTTGGGCACCTAGGACTCTAATAACTTTATTTACTTGGTAAGTCCTAACATGTTATGTATAAGCAACAGAACTTAACTATAACCAATGCAGATCATAATCAGCTGCCTTCTCAACAGAAACGCATAAAAGAACTAGCAAGTGTACTAAAGCTCTAAAGGACACATCTAAAAGAACACACAAAACTTAAAAAGAACAATATGTCTCTTCATTCCATTGTGTAATACTTTATACTATATATTTAGTTGATCGATTTCTGTAACACTATCAGGAGTAAAACCAATAATTCCATTGCACAAATTAGGGTATGCAGCTAGGAAGCAAGTGCTCTCAGAAGATAGATTTGAATGCACAATATATGAATAATGCATAATATAATAAAACCGAAGCAAAATTGCTGCCTGCACGTGTAATATTTGTGTGTTCAAGAGTATTACCAAAAGCCACACCTGTACCAGGGGATGCCAAGTTAAGCATGGTTAACACACATACCTATGTGAGAATAAGAGCACGATCTTATGCCTGTTTAACAAACATTTTAAAAAGCCCACGACTCTATGTCCCGGTCAACGATGCTCAGAGCTGCAGGGATTTTGAAATGTCTCAATATACATAGGAGTGCGCCGAATAGGTAGTGGCCTTGAAGGCACCAAAAGCCTTTTGTTTCTTCTACAATAATTGAACAAGGGTATAGTGTGCAAGTTTACTCAGAAACACAAAGCAGAGGCTATTCGAGTCCTACTTTCTGATGAGACATAACACTTTCTGTCCAATGCGATACCCCCGAGCTCACCAGGGTAGCAGAGCAGCAGGACCCCAGCCCGTAAGTCCTTCGTGGCCTCCTGCTTCCCTGCCACCCCGTCCCTCGTTACAACTTCGGGAAATATCCGAATTCTCCGTGGGGCTCCCTGGATGAGGCCCCCGATTTCCCCGCTTCCCTACCTCCACGCCGGGGCAGCACCCTCAGCACAGAAGCCGGACGCCCAATTTATTTTAGACAACTCCCTCCCGCTCGCACGGCCACGTGATTATAAAGCACGTAGTTCTTCCCACCCAACTTCCTGATTGAGAACTGCCGCCTTGTCAACGATTGGCTGGGCAACGATTTCGGAGTCATCCACTAATGAAGGTCAAACGTGCGAACCTCCATTTTCATTGGCCGCTCATCCTGTCTTCTTCTTTTTAGACATACCCATTACCCTGTGATTGACAGCACTATTATGTTTCTTAGTCTTTCCCATTTCACTGGCCCACAAGCATAGAGATAGAAATTTTGTTAGACGCACAATCTAGACTTCCGGTGAAAACTGAAACTCTCGGGACAATCCTGCTGTCCTGGAAGTAAAAGCTGTTGAACTCACCTGAGCTTATTTCTAAGAAGACATACCTAGGATTACTTTTATTTGGGATTTAACCTTTAGCAGTGCTAAAGGTTGGTCAGTCTTGCCCATATTGATTCAAAAGAATCTCCCCCGAGTCCAGCGAGGCAGGGTCTACTTCCTAGTATGTGTATTAAAAGACTGAAAGAATTAAAAAATAGAGAAAATTAAAAGAAAATCTTGTTCACTTTTAAAAGGGAAATACACATAGAACAGATACGTGTTGGGAAAATTCAGGATTATAATACAGATATGCTTCGTCGATAGCATGTCCATCCAGAAACGAAAATCAACAACAAAAGCCGGAGTACGAAAGTTTTAAACTTATATAAACTGCCACGCCAACGCACTACAAGGCTGTTTTCTCCAGCTTGTTTGTGAGAATTTGGGCGTGACCGAGAGTAGTTTGCAATAACCCTGCAGTGTAGTCCACTGTTGATATCACAGACTGGCAGCAAGAAAATTAGTCAAACGTACAAAACACTTCTGGCGCTACTGCAAAATTCATCTGACATTGCCGTGAGATCCCTTCCCACACCAAATACAATCCTAAATTATATAAAGAAGCATTCTGTTTCACTGCTTTAAACTCGATCCAAAAGTCACTTTCCCCATTCGAAATACGTCCCTGTAATTAGAAAAAGGATCCGCCAAGGCTTTTATAGCAAGCTTTTGCCTGAGGCGCGGCGAAGTTGCTAACAAACTGCAGCTAACCTTGAGAACTTCTGATTTTCCTTATCGCCCGCCCCTCATGAGCACTTTGACATTCTTAAAGGGAACCTGAACTAAGTTGCCTGCTTGAGTTCCTATGCAAGTCTGAGCTCCTTTGACAGACTGGGGATCACACGCAGGCGTCTCGCTTCGCACAGCCTCTTCCAATTGGATGCATAAACTTCTGCACCCCGCCTACTGAAGTGGTGTGACTTCTCTTTTTAGGAGGGTGTTAATTGGCATAATAAGCTTCGCTAGGGGTTACGGTCTAAATGATTTGGACGGTCGACTTCAAGTTCCCCGTACCCGCTTCTCTTTGCGGGCCCAGATCATGTAAAGACAACATCCGAAATAGCTGTTCTATGGAACTTTTAAAGACCTGTAATTTAGTTAGAAGTATTGTAAATTGAAGAGGGGTTGTTTGATTCTTTTATCGTTGGTAGGTGGTAGTAATAGGGCCTTTGGCCTTGCTTTGCTAATAAACACTAGGAGGAGGAAAGGAGATTTGAAACAGCAGAGTAAAGATGAAGCAAGCCCTTTTCCCAACCACACATTTTTTCTACTTGCACTGTGGCAGAAAAGTTTGCTTTCAAAGCAAGTGTGGCCAGTAGGGCGCTGCGCTGATTTTTCTGAATGGGTGATCCCAGCCAGTGACTTCAGTAGAACTTACTCCCTGGTTAATTATACAATTGCAACCCTAATAGTAAAATCTATGCGAGATTACACAAAGAAAGGCTTCCAACTCCCAACGTGCTATGCTGGAAGTTGTAGGCCTTTCTTTTGTCGAAACTTAAATAGGATTGTGCCTTAAAACCTAACAACAGTACAGGGTCAAGATCTCTCAAGGAAGCTGCAGCAAATGATTCTAGCCATGCACTCCTAACACAACAAAAAGTCTTGCACACTGTACGAAACATTCTCTGTGTGCACAAACTTGCAGCAACCAGTTACTGTTTTAAATTGTTGCATATCTTCTCTATGGTTTTTTAACAGATAAGGAGGTACATAAAAGTTAATCATCTCCCACTATCAGCCTTATCATCGCAGTCTGCTGCTACCGATTCTTATAGGCACATCCCTTCATAACACTGCTTTTGCCGCCGCCGCCACCATTAAGTCCCACAGAGCCCGTTCTCTTGTCTTCAGCAAAGGCAACATCAGCTTCTCAAAGAAGGATCTGCTTATTCTAATCTATATGTGAACTTGGTATGTATTTCCACCCAACTTTCATGCGTGAGCCTGCAGACTTCTCTTTGAAACCGCCAAGATGGGTACTCCTCTAATTTTTTTTATTTTCCTAGATCTTCCGACTGAGGCTCCACCCCTCCTCTGTGATTGGTGGGCTCGAGCTGGGCTGATGCGTGAAATAGCGGCCCTAGCGGAACTACTGTAGTAGAGCTGCTCACGCGTTCTTTGTACGTCTGAAAGACGATTGGGCTTTGTTACCGTTATCATGACCCAGGTAAGTTCTACTGTCCCCCCCCCCCCTTTCGAGGAGTGGGAGTACGCTTATTTCTCTTGCTCAGTGCTTTTTAAGGCGGCGGGGGACGTGTCCATAGACTCCCTCCTGCCTTGGGGTGTTTCCCTATTCATTGTCCTTGCTGGGAAGGGTTGAGTCTTCTCGCTGCCTAAGCTTTCCATTTTGTGTCGCTTGGGTTTGCTCCATCTCTCTCTCTCTCTCTCCCCGTCTCTTTTCTTTCTTCCCCTTCCAGGAAGTTAAGCCCTTTGCACCTCTCTGCTCCAGAGCGCTCGGTTATGTTACACCTTAAGTCCCCTGGAGAGTTACTCAGCGCAGCGTGGTGGCCAGACCGCCCTGTTGCAATAGGTTGCGTTTTTCGACCTGATGTGGTTCATGGCTATTATGAAGTGTGAATCTGGAGCTTTCCCCATTCAGGTGCTGGCTTTCTACAGACATAGGAAGCTGTCCCGTCACTAGAAACCAAGCTTTCCACAGTGGGGTCATGGGCCATGCAGGTATCTTAAGGAGCAGCACGCGGTTGCAATCCCTACATGCTAAAAGGTTTAAGTGGGGTTCTCGGAAGTAGCTAGTGCAGTCTTAACAGGCATTAGCAGTATTCTAGAACTAACTTAATGTTTCCAGCTGCTGAGGGAAAGATTCATTTTCTTAAACAGCAACTTTCTAGCAGTAGCCAAAGTTCTTATATGAAGTAGGTCCTTAACATGATGCTCCATATCTGCATCAAAGTAACTTGAAATCTTGGGCCTGTGTAAAAATGCCCTCATATGTTACTCTGTGCTCATGCTAGAAAAAAGTGGCCATTTGTAGGTACTATAGCCATATTCTGCACATAGGAAGTTGCCATGTAGTGTCTAGCACTGCATGGTACTTGCACAGCCTCGTGGTGGATTTGGCTTGTGGGAACTAGTAATCTTCAAAGAAGTTGTGCAACATATGATGCAATGCAGCGAGCGTCTTTCTTGCCAAGTGTGGAAAAAGTAACCAGCTTCACAGTGTTCCCACCCATAGGAAATATTACCATGCTTCACATTTCTCTTGCTGCTTGCCAAAATAAATCCCCATGCCTGTATACTAAAACTACAATCTTCTGCATGCTTACCGGAAAGTAAGTGTAGTCTTACTTCCAAATAATCCCGCAAAGGTTTGTACTTTAAATTGGCAAAGCAATAAGTGAAACATTTCTTACCGAAACAGGCAGAATTTGAAAAAGCTGCTGAAGAAGTGAAGAAGCTGAAATCCCAGCCAACTGATGATGAAATGCTGGATATTTACAGCCATTATAAGCAAGCTACAGTTGGAGATGTAAATACAGGTATGAGTTCACCTTGATAGCTGGTGTAATTGGGCTGGAATGTATGCAAATGATGCTAGTCTCTGACAAGGAAGCTCATGGAGTGGCCCTTTGTCTTTCAGTCTAACTTGGCTCTGAGTTGCATTAAGGAGAACTGGGAATTACTATACAGACATGTGTATCATGTGAGTTTCAGTCTCCACTAATAAATGCTCTGTTTAAAAACTCCAATAAGCATATTTAAATAAAGTGTAGGTGTATTTAATTAACTGTACATCTTCCCTCAGTATGTAACTCTGTAAATCCTTGCAGATAGGTTAACTTTCTGCTCCCAGGCTCCTTGTTGGGTTGAAAGCAATTCTATGTAAGCTGCTAGTTATAACCCTTTTGCAAAAATGGCTTCCTACTACTCAAAGGTAAAAGCATCATTGGTTCTTTTATTAATAAGATAGCATAAAGCCATAGCCAGTCCCTGCTTCCATACAGTACACAGGGTTAAACATTAACACACACAGCCATCAGCTGTAAGAGTTGTGCCTGTTAAAATGCATTGGCTTTATTCCAGGTCTTCTGTTCTGGGATCAGTGGTCCCATCTGTTGCAGCAGTGCCTTGATTGCTTTGGGGAGGCTATATGAGAGGCAAGTAGCATGGCAACGTAGTGGTGCTCAAAATCATGAAATAGGAGATGCCTCGAGTGTGGTGGATCTTGCCACAGTTCCATGCGAAATAGTCTGCACTAAGCCTAAGCTCAAGCTTTGGCCTGATCCTAATACATTAACTCAGGCGATTCATCCAGGCCAATAGTTCAAGCATTGCTGAATTGAAGATGTTCGTCCTAGTGTGACTCCCAAGAGTTCAGAGACCATTCCCAGAACTGCTTACAAAGCTCTAAAGAGATAAATTACATTAGACCTGCAAATTAACAAGCGTGTTCTTTCTGTGAGGGTCTTTGACATAGGATTCCCGAAATGGTTGCAAGGTGTGCTGGTGCCTGTCAGAGCTGCAGCTGTAACTTCTGAAATGGTGCTGGTGGCCACAGTACCTCCATCTTGGAATAACTGCTGTGTATGGGTGGGAATAGCTGTGTTCAGAAGTGTGAGCCAGTTCCTTGTTTCTCCTATTCAGCTATACCATTCTGTAGTAGAGCTGCATAGGCTATGGCTGTATTGCTTTGTTAGTACATTCAAGTCTCTGGTCATTCAAGTGTTCAGGAAATGAATGCAGGAAGTATCAGTGGCAGCCATTGTGTTTACAGATGTTAGCTTTGCCTGAAGTGCTATTCTTGCATTTCTTCTTTCTGGAGGATGCTATCGAGTACCCTAGTGGAGGATGGAAAGAACCTTTACAGACTGTACTATCTAACTGGAGTCCAATTATTAAAAGCACAGCTAGCAAAGATTTACAAGTTGCCCTGCATAGTACTGTTAACATGAGGGTACTTGAAACACTGTTGCGAGAGCATCAATAAATGGTTAAAGATGGGGAAACTGCAAGTATTTGTATGGGAAAGTTACAAAACTCTCTTGTCTGAGAGAGTTGGATTGTGGCATTATACTGTTTACAGGATAAGAGGATTCAGAAACAGTTTACCATTGCTTTTTTTGGTAAACAGCACTAACCGGAGCTAGCTTGCGCTTCACTGTCATTGTCTCTGAAAAATCCTCTGCCCGTGTCACCTTCAGTTGCTGCTGCTGCTCTTCAGACATTTCTCTGCTTCCTTCATGGTTAGAGATTTCTATTCTTTTCTGCTGATGTGACTGTTGCCTCTGAAGAGGGTGGGTGCATCTTTGCCTGGTGTGCGTCCTTTGGCCATTCTGCCTTGGGGGTGACTGCAACCCAGTGAAAGTCTGGCCTCCTGGTGGCATTGCTTTCTGCAGCCAAATATGAGATGGGCCACTTCTACAATGACCTTTTGTTTACGAGAACTGGGTGGGCTTGTCAAGGATGGGACAATTCAGAGTATTCATGGAGTATACTTGATGGTATATAACAGCATGAGGGGATAAAACACTTGTATGTCTGTGTGCATTCAGTTGAGAGGGGAGCTGCTGGAGGAGTAGTTTTGATGCTCTCATAAGAGCATCGTGTAAGCATAACTCCTACAGTGATCATGCGGGGGAGGTCTCATTCCTTTAAATAGTGGCAAGTAAGCCTACTTTAGCCTGCTGGATAACTCTCAGTACAGATGACCCAGGGTGTTTCTACCTAAAACTGGAATTACATCCTTGGTGATCAAAAACCCTTGAACTTGGAGGCTTATGAGTATCCAGTGCACTCCCCACATCTCTTGCTCTGCATTTTGGCTAGAGCACCGGTTTTGCTCACCTACCTCGGGTGATTTGGAGTGGGAGGCTACAGAGGTTACTGCACACACTGTAGCTTGGCCGCCTCCGTGGTCTCCTCCCTGGAACATCCTCATGATTCCCTCTTCTGATGTCAGACAGGCAGCCTGCACAGTGCTTTCCTTAACCATTGAGAGAGGGAGTGGGATTAGTTCATGGATCCTCAGCATGGAGTTGTTTCTCTATCCTTGGATCCATAGTAGTCTGTGCCCACTGCTAATGGCTATGGGCTAAAGGACTGCTCTGTAAGTGTGCAATCCTAGAGGTTTAGACATGCCAGGCATTGTAGAAATTTTCTGTCTAAATATGCTTAAAACAAAATTCCAGGTATACTTTTGCTTTTTCTGTAACTGCTTCCCCCAAAAATTGGAAGGGGAGGAACAAGCATCATAGCCTGGTACTTGGCCATGAAGGCCAAAGGACTGACATGAATGATGACTCTGTCCCCATACTGGGGGAGGGAGGATCTGAAACACTTGACACTTCTAGTGCTGGCATCTACACTGAGGACAAGGGACAGTAGCCTGGCTTTTTTCAGAGATGGCCCTGCCAACTAGAATTAAAGGTCATCTGCTGCTCCTTGCAAGGGGATGACTTAATGGTCCCATTGCCATCTTGGAGTAAAATGACATGCAGTTCTGCATTCAACAGCTTAAATGCTCAATTTTCAGCTGGAACATATCACTCATGTAGCTCTTTCTGATACACACCCCAAAAGCAGAGGTCTAAGAGGAAGATCTGAACCAAGGCCTTTCAAGCTCTTTAAAAGAGCAAGAAAGTTCCGTTCCCTCTTCCGGTGAACAGACTGGACCAAATTCTTTGTGCATGTGCGTGTATATACACACACACGTGTTAAGATTTGGCAGGTTATGGAGGAATGATAACTTTCATCTGGCAGAGAAAAACCCCACAGAAGGCTAACTGAGCTAGGCAGGAAGTTGTGGCTCAGCCTTCTATCTAGCAGCTGTTCCACCATCTCTTTACTGTGTGGTTATAAAAATTGAGTGTGGATGTGATTCAAACACTTAATGTGCAATACCAAAGAAAAGTAACAATATGGTACATCAGGCACTGGTGGCATAATCTGCTGTAAACAAAAGACCAATTGAACCCAAAAAAGTGGCTTATTCTACTTGACCCTTTTTAAAAGCAGGATCTGCCTTCATCTTCCATAGAATGACTATTTGCTGTGATAAGAAGCAGAATCTCCAGAATATGCTCTCACCTCTATATTCTAAACAGGATTCTACTTGTATAGAGACACACACCTTTCCTGGAACAGCCATGATGATTAATGAGCAGCTGCCTAAAGAAAAAGTTGATCAAAAGTGAATGTTTCATTTTTGAAAAGTTCTGAGTATATTGTGTTCCAGCCCTTAATAGACTGTATTAAAAATAAACATGTATAAACATTTCCCACTCAGTGCTTTACTATCTACTTTAATCCAGAGCCTTTTTCAGGAATCATACTAAAAATGCCTACATGGATCTGATAGCTGTGTCTCAAATGTGAAGACTCATGGACTTGTGCAGAATGTTTTTCATTTGTTCCTGGACTTGCCATTTTGCAATCTAGTAAATGGGCATTAACTGTCCTTGGATGTATGCAGGAATAGGGATCCATGACTTTTCTTCCTATCTTTCTATTTCTAAATGGAATGCTGCGGAACAAAAGGCATGTGGCTTGCCTGAGAGAGGTCAGGATTACCCTTCCTTATGTAAAAGGCTAAAATTAGTTGTAAATTGACATCTTTTAATGTCTGTGTTTATCTGAAAAGGTCTGGTGCACATTCTCTTGAAGTTCTAGGCTGCCAAATAGCAGCAGGAGGTTTATTCCTATTATCAGAATAAGCATAGAAGCCCTTACTCTCTTTTGTTGGTAGTGTTTTTGATTTGTGCATTTTTCCAATGTTAAAATAACTGACTTTATATACTTAAATTTTATTTTTATTTATTCGATTTATATCCTGCCTTTTTCCTACAAAGGGCTCAAGGCAGCTTACATCATTCTCCTCCTCCATCTTATCCCCACAACAACAACCCTGTGAGGTAGGCTGGGCTGAAAGTCTGTGACTGGCCCAAAGTCACCCAGTTGGCTCCATGGCTGAGCGGGGACTAGAACTCAGATCGTCTGAGTCCCAGTCCCACGCTCTTAACCACTACACCACACATTTTGCATGCTTTGACTATTTCATTTGTATAGGTTGTTAATGTTTTGAGCTCTCTTGGATTCCAATCACTGGGAATAGGCCAGATAGATAGAATATGACCCAAGTAAACATGTTCATCTTTATTCAAGTGTTCTGCTTTGAAGGGCGTGCTCACTGCCTGCCATTCTGGTTGGGACACATGAGTCACTTTCAGATGCAAGTGAAAACTTTTTCACATCTCTAACCTTGCTGAAAAATGAACAAGAGTATTTGTTAGCATGTTTCTTGTTCAAGAATATACCAACTTTGTTGGCCAGATAATCTTTAGATTGAAAGTGTTTCAGGGAAGGGTGTTCACAGCTTATCAGTAGCAGCTCTTCAGTGCCTTGCAGGAAATGTTATGTTCTATCAAGTAGCTTATCGACCATCTAGGCAGGATACAAACCTCAGCAAGAACAGCTAGACTCATCTGTTCAGTACCCAGCAAGGTCTTTTCTATGCCTTGACTTGCATCAGGGCAGACATGTGTTCTAATTGACAACAGCCTGTGTGCTTGACAAACCTTTAGCATCCTTCAGCAGTAAGTTGTATGGCAGGAAGAACCACAATGTGCCAAAGACTGATGTTCAAATGTTATCTTTCAGAACGTCCTGGAATGTTTGATTTGAAAGGCAAAGCCAAGTGGGATGCCTGGAATAAGTTAAAAGGTAAGCCTTGGCCAAAGATGGGGGAAATGGCAAATACCCAGAGGCAGGAGAGGGGCAGTCCTAACATCTCAGCCAAATCTTCAGGCTGCAGATAGAAGGAATGTCTTTCAGTGCAGCTCTAGCAATTGACTTTTGCACATGCATAATTTGTCCAAGTAGGTGGGGGGTTCATAAATTACACTTCAGTGCCTTGCCTAAAATTCTACAGAAAGTAGAAGAGCAAGGATGCAATCTCATGCATGTTTATACTGGCCGGCTGGAGCATGCTGGAAGTTATGAGGGTTTTCTGTCTAAACATAGAATGAAGTTGCTGGCAGTGCCTACCGCGTCTATCTTAAACTGCTTTCTCTCTTGAAATACTGGTTATTCTTGTAACCTAGTGCCTCTACATACCAAGTACTTCATGCAGCAGCATTGCATCTGGAATAGGCTAGGAGGCTGCCCAAGCCTCAGTATCTTGGAGCACAATCCATGGATGGCTGGGGGAACTAGGACCCTTGTTCTGTCAATTGTACCTTCAGTCTTCCTTAGCTTGAAGTTTGTGCGTATAGATCTAGGACTACTTAGAGCCCCTGCTCAACTGCTTCAATTAATGCATAAAAACCTCCGGGCAGTGGCCTAACTTGGTCCCTCACACGGTGGGTGGTTCAGGTTGTTCAGCCAGGCTGGCCCGCGGGACCTCGAGGGAAGCGCCTGCGCCAAGCTCCTCCGCATCAGAGGCAGCACTGAGAGGACGCCCAGCTCCAGGCCATCTTCTGGTGCAAGGAGCTTTGCCTGCCCACGCCTTAGCCAACGGTCAAGGCTTCACCTCCCTGCGTGCTTCCCAGTGGAGGGATGTTTGGGGCCAGGGAAGCTAACAGACATACCTATAGAAGAAATCTCAGCTGGAGACTCGATAGCATCACTGAGCATGGCCCTGGCTGGGTGCTGTTGCCTAGGGCCCCCTTCCCTCTTGGCTAAGCTCCCTGCCTGTGGCCTCAAGTTACATAATTCAGAACAGTTCAGATGCTGCATAACTCATGGCTTACATCCATGTCAGTAATGTGCTTAAGATAGAAACTGTAAGGACAATGCTGCTTAGTAATGTTGAGCACTTAATGTAATACCCTGCCTATGGGAGGCACTGAAACAATTGACCAGGATACTGTTCCTGTATGATTGTTCCTTTGTCGCATCCATGTTCCTCTGTGGAGCACCATTCATTGCCTGGCGAGGATTTACTCCCCGGGCAGCCTCAGGAGAGAGAGGGGAAGGTGGGGCAGCTGTGAGGATCTGGGGGAAAGGAGGAGGCGTTTCCCTTTTGCTCTCCTGGTTTCCCCCACAGCGGAGAGGCATGGGGCAGCCAGAGCCCCCAGAGCTGCTGCTTCGGCAGCTTTGGGTGTGGGCTGGCTGCCACAAAGCTCCTGTCCTGACACCACAGCCCCAGCCTCCCTCAGAGCAGCGGTGGCAGCTAGAGCGCAAGGAGGTGAGAGCACAGGAGCAGTTGGGTGGTCAAGGGAAAGAAACAAAGATAGCAGAAGATGACAGACAAGGGGCATTCCAACCAAGAAAGGTTGAGGGAGAGGTCCTGCTGCCTGTCCCGTGTGATGAAGGAATGGCGCACCCTCAGAACTTGGCACAGAGTTCAAGAAGATTGCCCAGTGTGGGCTACTGCTGCCCAGGAAAAAATAAAAGTGAAGACCCAAGCCCAGTTGAAACCAGAGCGCCTTACTCCTGAGTAGAATATTTCAAGTGCACTCCTGTGTAGTTGGACAGAAGATTGGGATGCCCAAAACTGATAGGCCCCTTTTCTGCCTGAATTGCATTGTGTTTTGTCCTGAAGGACTCCGGGAACAATCCAGTTCCTGACAGGTGAGAGAAAAGGTTGCAACTAGCTTGGAGATGGTGGGGGCTTTAGGGCTTCCTTCTGTCTGAACTTGCATAGGATTGCACCCTCGGCTTAATTTAGTGTGTAGATGCATGGAGTATCATCCCTGCTTGAAAGATGTAATCTATTTGTCTCGGGCATTTATAAGCCCATGTTGAAAGATTTCTCTCACGCATGTACAGAGCTTGTGGGGTGGGGAAGGGACTCGAGATTCAGGTTCTAGTTCCCACTCAGCCTTGAAGCTGACTGAATGACTGGGCCAGCCATGGACTCTCCGCCTAACCTACCCCATAAGGCTGATGTAAGGATAAAATGGAAATGAGGACAACCTTGTCAGCCACCTTGGGTTCTTTCCAGGAAGAAGAAAGGCAGTGCATAAATGCTTGTAAGATTATATTAAGTAATTATAATTTTGGACTGATGTAAAAAATCCACAGTTGACATTAAGCATCATGCGGATGGTGACATGGTACTGCTACTAACTTAAAGCAAGCAGACAGCTCCAAGAAGCAGTCCATCCTAGTGTGCTTGGGACACCTTTGCTCTACTGCTTGATAGAGAGGAACCAGTGCTGATATTGTCAGCTGGACTGAGCAGTGGAGTTCAGACAAAGGTCTCTTCTAGCCTGCCTGCTTGGAAGTCCCAGAACTGGAAATGACCAGAAGCAAGGCTAGAATATCAAATGTACAAAACATTTATAGCTCTCTGCCACTGAGAGTTGTTCCTTCCATGGATACATTTGATTTATGTAAGCCATGAAGGTGAGCTGTGCCCATATACTAAGCAAGGTCACAGTTGGCTCTCCAAGCAAGAGGCAGGAGGAGTAAAACCCACCAAGAATGACAAGTCGGTAATACACAGTTGGCTGATCATCAGCTTCTCAAGGAAGCTGGCCTCCGTGGGTCTCAAGAGGCTAAGAATTGGAATGGTAGCCTTCCACATGCTCTGGCCTACAGTTCCCATCAGTCTTAGGCAATAACATCAATGGTTAAGGATCATGGGAGTTGCAGGACAAAGCTCCCAAAATTTCTTACCATTGACTGCTGGTTAGGACTGATAGAAGTTCTCATTCTCCAGGTGTTTTGGCCTACAAGTTGCCAAGCCCTGCACATGATAAGGGGGGGAAGGCTGTTGTTTAAGTTTTCAAGGTTTGCATCATATGATGAGAGTTGAGAGTGCATCTTGGGTGGTATAGAAGTCCAAAGCAGCCAGGTTGGTTGTGCCCTCTAAGTAACTGCAGCCCCTGTAATGGGTTGCTGAGCATCTCAAGCTCTGTAGGAATTCAGCAGGCAGTGGTAGAACGCAGGACACTAACAAGGTGCTTTCATTTGGCTTATTTCAAGAAGCCACCAAGCAACAGGCCGAACATGAGGGAGAGTCTATAGAAGTGGCTTTCCAGCTGTTTGAATTGTGTTTATCAATGCTTTGATCACCCACTATTTTTCATCTGCAAGCCAGTAAGAGCTGGAGTGGTTCATTCCTCCTGCCTCCTGGCCCTCATTAGGCCCTCATGAATCTTAATTGATGAATGTTAATATTTTAATTGTTAAAAGATGCTGTCCAATCTGTTAATGTATGAAGGCGGCAAATATTGTTTAAATAAAAAGGTCTTGGCCTGGCGCCGAAAAACAAATAATGATGGCGCCAGGCGGACCTCTCATGTAGATGTTGAATAGCAAGGGGGACAAAATGGACCCCTGCGGAACTCCATGGCATAGCTGCCATGGCGCAGAGCCATAGTCCCCCAGCACCACCTTCTGGAATCGGCCATTGAGATAGGAGCGGAACCACTGCAAAGCAGTGCCTCCAACTCCCAATCTCGCAAGCCTGTCCAGAAGGATACCATGGTCGATGGTATCGAAAGCCACTGAGAGGTCCAGGAGAACCAACAGGGGGACACATTCCCCCATCTCTCTCCCTGCACAGGTCGTCATACAGGGCGACCAAGGCAGATTCAGTACCGTACGTGGGTCTGAAGCTGGACTGAAATGGGTCCAGATAATCAGTTTCATCCAAGAGTGCTTGGAGTTGTCTCGCCACCACCCGCTCCAACAGCTTGCCCAAGAACGGGATGTTGGCCACCGGTCTATAATTGGCAGCTACCTCTGGATCCAGGGATGCCTTCTTTAGGACTGGCCGGACTACCACCTCCTTTAAAAGGGCAGGTACCCGGCCATACCTTAGAGAGGCATTGACAACCTCCAGGACCCAGTCCCGTCCTTGGCTTTCTTGAGTAGCCAACATGGGCAAGGGTCCAGTAAGCAGGTGGTAGGATGCACTTGTCCAAGCACCTTGTCCACATCAGGCCACAACAACTGAAACTCATCCATCGATTGTGGACCAGATGGCAACATTGGCACCTCCCCAGTAGAATCTGATTCACTAGTAGAGTCCAGCTCGTTTTAATATTGAGTTTAATATGTTGGGTTTTATGTTTTAACTGGTGGCTTTTAATTGTTGTAAATGGTCCAGAGAGCCATGTGGCTGTTGAGGTGATCTGTAAAAACATAAATAAATGGTCAGAAAACTGGTCCTTGGATCCATCTAGGATTGCAACTTGCGGATGGAAGTGCTGGTGTCAGCAGAAACAATGGCAGAGCAGAAATTGTGTGTCTGGACTGCAGCCTTTCCCAACAGGCTGTTTCTATAACTTTGAAAATAGGCAGAGCTTTTGTTCATAAATATGGCAGCCTTAAGTCTTTGTAACTGTGAGATGATAGAGAGTAAAACTAATCCAGAGACCAAAAGATAGCTTCAGATAAGTTAATCCTGAAGGTCCTGGCTCTCCTTTCCTTACTCTACCAATTTGTAATTCGGATTCTGGCCTCCCCCATTTACCCAACTTTAGCATCATTGCCAAGATATAATATGAGCCTTTAAGGTGGAACTGACCATTCTCATGCCATTAGAGTAAGGGCTAACTAACTTGGGTTGCCACAATTTCACAGAGAGGTACTTAAATGTCATGCTGACTAGCCTGTTTTCTGACAGGAGGGCACGTTCAACATGCTGTGGGCTAGAAGTCAAAGGATGGGGCAAATGATTCCCGCTTAGTTCCATGTTGTATTTGGAACATGGAACTAAGTATTTAGTACTTGTATTTGTTCACTTGGTTAATTTCCTTCTTTCAGGAATGTCTAAAGAAGAAGCTATGAAAGTGTACATAGCAAAAGTCAACGAACTGAAGGACAAATATGGAATGGCATGAAGCGCCTACCTGTATGCCTTATATGGAAACATACCTTACTAATACTGTGGATGAATACATTGTCTGCTACACAGTACTGCAGTGCCAAGTAATGATGCCACTTCAGAATGATTAACTGTGTAAATAAACTTCTAATGGTTTCTAGAATAAAGCTATGAAATTCATAAAAACATGAGCAGTTTGCCTTAATAGTGATAATAAGCAACATCCTTGATGTGCCATCTCAACCTGAATGTGGATCTGTCACTAGCAAGATGAGTGCCTCGGTCAGCTCCAAGGCTGCTGTTCTGATGCAGAACCAGGAGAAGGGAGCAAATTCCCCTACATTTGTGTGGCTACTAATCCACAGGGCTGGGGAATCTTCCACTGCAGATATTTAGGGGAGAAGAGGAAAAGAAACTCCTGTTGCACTAGCAGACTTTTAGTTACGAGGTATTTAATTTTGGATGTTCAAGGCCCCTCTGATGTGACAGTAAGGGTTAGAGGACTTCTCTGGGGAGGGAGCTGAAACTGAATAAAGGTTTCGTATCGCCTATGGCATAGGTCCTCAATCTACGGCCCGGGGGCCAGATCCGCCCCGCCATGCCCATTTGGACCCGCTGCGCGTGCACCGCCACCCACCTTGCCCCTTGCACGGGGAGGCAGCGGTTTGCTTGCTCGGAGAAAGCGATCTCCAAGCAAGTAAGCTGCTGCCTCGTGCACCCACCTCACGGCGCATGCCTTCCCCCGCCTCTCCTTGCTGCGTGTGCTCGTCTGCCCACATCTCGCCTCAGTATGCATGCCCGTATGCACCACCCCCTGGCCGGCCCACACGCACCGCTGGCACCACCTTTCCACCTGCACCTTTGACCTGGCCCCCTGGTGAAAAAGTTTGAGGACCCCTGACCTATAGTATCCAGGGAAGATGCTGTCATTGGCTCATAGTCATTGGCTGAGACCATCATTAAGATTTATCAATAGCTCCTGAATGACTACAAGCTTCCAGTGCTGCTAGTCCAGTGGTCCCCAAACTTTCTTGAGCAGCTACCTTAGCCTCTTCGTATTAGGTCTACTGCTCTGCTGCAAATTTATAATAACCAATCACTGCCCCCCCCCCCCCGTTCTTTCCACCTCTCGAGGGGGGCAGTACTGCTCACTTTGGGAATCACTGTCTAGTCCTTGGAAGGGTCAAGTGATATCTGCTGAAGCTTCCTGCTCCATACATGCTCAATACGGAGTCTCTGCTTCATCCCAGAGTACAGCTAACCCATATTCTGTTGTGTGCTGTACTATAATCCATGCAGAAGTGAATACCAAACTGACAGGCTATGGCTCTGTGAAACAGGTCTCCAGTTCTGACTATAGAAATGATGCCCTTTGGAACACTAGCATTTTTTTAAGATGCTCCATCTCTGGTTCCTTAATTCTCAAAATTACCTTTCAAATTAGCAATTGGCTTTCCACTTCCTCTTGAAGACTTAGTTAAGTCCCACTGGTATCATAGGGGATTGCAGACCAGCCAGTATACTGCCTCCCAAAATTTCCATTAAAGCTTGCTATTACAGCCTGTTAAAGAGACCCACATCACCAGTGTAAGCAGTGAAATGTGCAAAGGCATTTCTGACATTTGTACACCTCAAGGGTAAGAGTCTCACCAAGTGTGTCAGAGGCCTGCTATCTTCTTGTGAGGGTTCCTGCGTGTGTAATACAGCCTTGCCCCAGGCTGGTGCTGTCCAGGTGTGTTGGATCACTGGAAGCTGCCTAAACCCTTCTGTGCTTAGTGGCATTGCTCTCAGGCTGAGGACATCTGTTCTCTGCCACACCTGCTTATGGAAATAGATCAGGTCAGTCTGAACACAAAGCTAGCTGTATGCTAAGCTGCAAAAGCTCTCTAGGTCACCAGAGGGAGCCAACTAGCTTCTCATGCAGATATGCGCTTCTGGTTAACAAAAAAAGACTGATTTTGCTTGCTTGTGGGTACTGGAGTTCTTGATAGCAACTGTGAGGTTTTTAAAAGGAGTGTAAAATGTACTTGCAGTAGGTAAAATCTTGCTTAGTAGGAAGAGTAAGTAGATTATTTTTTTACTTCTTAAACTGAGCACACACCACACTAAATCAACTAAATTTGGTCCCTGGGTTGGAGGTTTCTCAGCTACATGTGATGCTTGGTTGAGTGCAGCTTTACCTGTGGCATTTTGTGTGTGTTCAGGAGAAACTTGAAGTTTGCATCCAGGTGCAGCAGAACTGCTGCTTCTGCTGAAAACTCCTCTTTCCCCCACTTCTCCTCCCTGTTAGAAGATACCTTATGCTTTGGCAGGATGGAGTAGAGTAGATTTTTAATACTGCTAATAATACTTTTGCTCAAAATGACGCCCCCTGCCAGTATCCTGGACTCCCAAAGCAAACTGCTACCTCTGGAATGGCAGAGGAAAGGAACTGTAACTACCTTGCATTTGGTCATTCAGGAAGGAAACTACCTCTGAGTACATGGGTTAGCCTTCCCCTGAGTACCTGCAGGCCATCACAACTCACTTAAAATTTATTTATTTATTTATTAAAACATTTTTATGCTGCCCCATTCGCCGAAGCCTCGGGGCGGCTTACAACAATAAGTTAAAAAATAATTATAACATTAAATTAAAAAATATAAACATTAAATTAAAAATACAAAATACCAATATAAAATAAGCCGCCCTGGCCAGATAAAATCCAATAATATCAACAATTAAAATGCCGCTTAAATAAAAAGGTCTTCGCCTGGTGCCGAAAAACAAATAACGATGGCTCCAGGCGGACCTCTCTGGGGAGCGCATTCTATAGATTGGGCGCCACCGCAGAGAAAGCCCTCCTCCGAGTACCCACCCTCCTGATTTCTTTCACAGAGGGTTCCCGGAGAAGGGCCTCTCCCGCAGATCTTAAGGGGCGGGCGGGCATATATGGATGTGTTTCACTGTTTGCACCATTGCACACTAGGCTACCCTACCTGTACCCTGGCACGCTCTTCATGCATGCCCAGTTCCAGTGCTCCTAACCAAAGGCTGACGACTGGTGGGTGGCTCAACACATCTGGGGGCACCAGGTTGGGGATGGCTGCTCTAAGGGGCAAAATCCTCTAGCCACTGCAACAACCTCCATTGCTTAGCTGCAAGAAGACAGACAAGGTTCAAGTCTCAAAGGACTTCAGAAAGAGAACATTGGATGACTTTACTTGCACATTTGAAGTATTCCAGTTTCCTGCTAGGACACTTGATTATTGGCTACCTTTTAAAACTGGCATTTGTTTGATCAAACCAGATGAAAATCTAGTGGGCTTTGTAAGGATGCTAATATTCTGATTTGTTTCTTAGTGATACAATTCACAGACAACCAGAATAGTTTTAATGCTGCAGGGTGAGTCTTGAAAAACAGTGGTCCAGTCTGTGATAAAAGTTGGCAGCACCCAATTCTACAGCTTCTCCATGGCTACAAATTGCCCTCAAAGCAGACTTGCAATGGAATGTAGCTAAAACTGGAAAACACTTCAATTTCTCTCTTTGTTGGCCACGACCCCCTCTTCTGAGTTTCAGAATATATTATTTCACAATATGTTGGCTAACTTGCTTTGTTTTTCACAGAACTGCTTCCACTGGACATCCTGTTTTTCATTATGACCTCTTCATCAAAAAAAGACCGAACTCTCTTGCAGTTCAAAATGAGATAAAGTTGGAAGGCTGGGCTGATTTCACCCTTATTCTTCAATAGGTTCCTTGTATGTCCTTGACAACAAGTTGCATAATCTCTGTCTCTACTCCTTGTAGATAAAATGTGAGCCCTGAACCTTACCTTTATCTTATTTGCTTGTGTTTTGATGAGCTACGTAGATTCACATTTTGTTTTTCTACAACATCTAAAGGGCTGCAAATGGCACCTTGGCCACAAGCGTATTTGGGTACTAATGTTCTTGTCCCACTTGCCCAGTTTTCATATATGAAGACAATAATATTGGCCTCTCTGCCTTGCAAAAGAATTGTAAGACTGAGAGAGGAAATGTATCTAAATTAAACACCTGAATTGTGTTAAAATGCTGATTATGATTTATGGAATCAAGGTGAAGTGGCTGTATTGCAGGCATTAGCCTCAGATGATTCCTAATGATGATACAGACCAAATTATTAGAGGGTTGTGCAACTCCCATCAGCCCTAGGCAACATAGCCAATGGCAAGGGATAAGGGGTATTGTAGTTGAGATGTTGGAGAAAACTATGATGGAGTCAAATGAAAGAGAGATGGCTGTTACCAAGTCATGTGGACCAATTTTTCACTTCTGGGGTACGGATTTGTAGTAATCCAGATTGATATAAAATTTCTGTTAAGTGACGCAGATTAGTGCATTGGTGCAAGTAGAATGAAATTCTGGTTTTAAAAAAGTCCAGCTCCATCAATGAGTGGATGATGGAATAAAAGACACCTGACAATCCATGGAACAGAGAACAGATTTAACCAAATCTGTACATTTCTTCTTATAGACCAAAAATATAGAGTAATGCATTATACACTGCCCCATCTAGTCCAGTATTTCCTACTTTGATTTACCAAACCTCTCTATGAAGGCTTTCCCATTACGCCTACCTGGGATCATTTTAACTAGCAATGGCTGGAATTGAAACTGGGGCCTTGTGCACAGAAAACGCAGTCTGCCATTGAGATATGAGCCTTCCACTTGAAGTCATCAGAGATGTCCACACGATGTCTCAGTCTCCATGAACAAGGAGTTCAGAGTATTTCTCTAGGGTGCATTGAACTGCCCTAATCACACTCTTAAACCCTGAGATTGCTGTGTTTGCAGGACACTGTCTGGACTTTGATAGCAACCGTGCTTGCAGACTCTGATAAAGTAGGGTGTTTTACTTCATGATTCACATGTTATAACCTTTTTTTTTTTTTTGAAGCTGTAACCATTTTGTATGTAACCAGAGTACATACAATGTCAACGTGCAAAAGGTGACCATTTCATTATCTTGGTGATAAGCCTTTCTTGTTGCATGCAGAGTAGCTATAACACTATCTGATCCAAATGTAAAATCATACTATATTATGTGAGACCTTTAGCCTGTTCCACGAAATGTACAAGGCTGTGGCTGTGTTCTCTAAATGTATTCTATTCTTTGCCATGTTTTTAGTAACTGTGTTTTTTAGTAACTGCTTTAGTGGC